TAGATTTGTTGATATTAGAGCAAAACATGACTTGGATCAGTTTTAATTGCTAAATATATCCAAGTTCCATTCTAAAACAAGATAATCGCTTCTTTACTCTGATCTAACTCTAGCATTAAGTTCAGTAATAAAGAAAGTCAATTTTCGTGCATCATATTCAATTGAACACTTTAAAGTTTCCTCTATATATGCGATAATGTCAATATTACAAGTATTTTAACATTTAATCAATCTAAAATTTCCAAAACTATTTAAAAGTTGAAAAATGCCGTGCGCCATATTCAGGACAATAGTTTAAAGTCTCCTCAATTATGACGCACAGCATTTTTTTAAATTTTAAAAAAATACAGACAGCCAGTCAGAATGTCATTAATTGAACCTTTCAAAACACACGAAAAAAAATCCACGCTTGCAGAAATAATTACAATTTTGCTCGACGAATTGAAAATAAAATATTTAAAAAGGGAAAAAAAGTATGCCGTTGAGAATATAAAATAAAGAAATAAAGAAATAATAATAATATCGCGCACATCAAGATGATAGAGGACCGGGCGTTGGTGGTGTCTGAAGTGGTGTGAGTGGCTTTGAGGACAAAAGAGATGATATCAAAAATGGCAAGGGTATATGGGAAGGATGGGACGATGACGAGCGAATAAACAAAAAACAGAAATGAAATTTTAAGAAAATTTATAATTTCCATCTAATTTACGCCGCGCTGGCTCTCCACTTCACTGTTGATAATTTATTGTCCCCTTCTGTTCTTCTTCTTTATGCTCTGCTTCTGTTTTATGCCATTTTTGTTACTTAAAATTCTCTTTTTTTTGTTTTTGGCAATGTGGATTTTTTCTGCTCTTTTTTTGTTTTGTGAAGGAGTTTTTTGCGATTCTTTCATTTGCAACAAAATCTTTTTATTTAATTCAAGATGGTTTTTTTGCTGCATTTTTTCAGAGACATAAATTGTCTTGTTAGTGCTTTGAAGAGGAACAATGCTTTTTATTGTAGTCTTTCTTTGCGGTTAAACCTACGTTGGTGTGTTTTTTTAAACTGAACTTATCCAACCGAAAATCAAATTCATCCCATAAAAACTTAAACTTTTTTATTTTAATGAGTGTATACATTCAAAAACTGACGTTATCCCAACAAAACTGAACTTATCCAACTTATCCTTAACTGAATTTAACACCAAAACTGAACGTATCCTAAAAAAACTTAATGTATCCTTAAAAAACTGAACAAACCCTAAAAGAAACTGAACATCCCAATAGAACCTGAACTTACCCCAATAGTAACTGGACATATCCTAGCTGAATTTAAAGACTAAACACAGACACTGAACCTATCCCAACTGAACTGATTTAAACCAAAAAGTGATCTTATCCCAGCAAAACTGAAAGAAAATTACCCAAAACAGAACTTGTCCATACAATAACCGATCTTATCTTTATAAGCTTAAATCATCCCATACCAAACTAAACGCATCCACCTAAAAACCAGTATCAAAAGAAGGGCACTTGCTGATATGAACTAATCATATCCTTGTAATTTTCTGATTTTAAGAGCAAACTTAACAACTTTGAAAAATAAAATTACCTTCAATTCTTATTAAATCGACATTTAATTCTATTTTATTAACCAATAAATCCAATCCATTTTATTCGATATTAATCCTAAACTAATTGCTTCTGAGAATTTTACATCCTTTCAGCATCAATTTAAAATTGTTGTTTTGCTGATTATATTGAGTGTTTATTTTAATATTGTTGTTGTAATTGACACTTTTAATGAAGCAAAAATATTGAGATTTGAATATAATTACACTATTAATAGAAGTCGTGGACTTTAAATGTTGATTGCTTTTTAAGTAGCTATAAAAAATTTATTTTGTTTTAAAATAGAAAGATTTTGCTAAGTTTGAATCAATAAGGAGATTAGGTCAATAAATAATTTGATTTCCTTTTCGTTCACTATTTAGTAGAATAAGTTCAGTTTTAGATTGCAGAAGATCAGTTTTTGTTAAAGAAAAGTTCAATTTACTGGAGAAAAAATAGTTCTGCCAAAGATGAATACAATTTTGTGAAGGATAGGTTCAGTTTTTGATAAAGATATGTTTAGTTTAACAAAGGATACGTTCAGTTTTCCAATTTCCCAAAACAGAAAAAAATAAAAAACTTGCAAATTGTAAATTAAAATGATTCTAAATCATGCAACTTCAAACCTTACAAAGCCTGTTCCACCTCCATTAACTTAAAAAAAATCCTCCAGAAAAAAAGAATTCACGAAGTAAAGTACAATAAGAAGTCCCCAAATGCCAATTACAAGACATCCTCAGCTCTATTCTGTTTTAAATGTTCAAAGTCATTATTCAAATTGCTTACGTAGGCGGTATTATCCGGGTATGGGTGGATAAAAGAAAGGGTCACAATTAAGCAGTAACGGCACAATAAGTACAACAACAACAACAACAATTTCTCCATCATTTCGCGTTTTATTGCCACAAGGCACTTCTTTTTTTCGCATTCATTATAAATGGCGAATAATTTTTTTCTTGACAGAATTTTTTTTATCCTCAATTCTGTGTTCTGTGTTGTGTTAAAGGAAAAAAAGCCACGCATACATAAAAATGAGTAAGAAAAAAAATCCATTAATGGAACAAAAAGTGAGGGAGAAGCCGAAGGAGCTGAATAAGAATAAAAAAAAATAATTTAAAATGTAAATGTACAAACAATTGCCGCTCGCTCTCCCTTCTGCTTTCGAAATTTGATATTCGCCCCTTTTTTTCTTTCTTTTTTTTATTCTGAGCCGTTCTGAACGAAAAAAGGAAGAATTTTTTTAAAACGTCGCTTTTATATGAAAAAAAAAAATAAAGAAGAAGAAAAGAAAGTAGATGAAAAAAAATTAAATAAAATATCGTTAAAAAGGGTTTCACGAGGCAACGCAATTATAAGAAATATAAGAACTAAGTTAAGGATGTTTTGTGGAAGGGTTCGTATGGTGACGCATTTTAGTGTCATTGTCCGGTTAATGGATTGAATTAGGTAAAAAATTAATAATGAATTTTTTGGGATATGTTTAGTGGTTGAAAGATAAGTTCAGTTTTCTCAGAATCAATTTTGTTCTTTTAAAGAATCAGTTGTGTTTCTAAAGGACGAGTTTTGTCATTTAAACGGATAAGTTCAGCTTTTTAAGGATAGGTTCAACGTTTTGAGGATAAGTTTAGGAGCTTAAGGATTAATTCAGGATTTTAAGGTTAATTTCAGTTTTTAATAGACTGTTTCAGGATTTTATTAATTATTTTGAGGAAAGTTTCAGTATTAAAAAGGATAAGTTCAGTTTTTCACAGAACAATTTATGTATTTTGAGTTTGTTAAGAGGAAATTTAAGAATTTTTGGGGATAAGTTGAGTTTATTAAAAAACAGATTCAGTATTTAATGGATAAGATCAGTTTTAAAGAATATGTTCAGTTTTATCTGAAAAATAAAGAGTAAGATCCTCCATAGCACAGTTTAACTGTCTGAAAATCACCAACACAACCCCTCAAAAATCAAGTTTAAAAGAACGACAGTGAAATTTCGCTTACCAAGCAAAAGAAAAAAAAGCCCCAAAAAAAACGTTCAGCAAAAAATTTCCTTCATTTAATTTTTTTTTTCCTCCTTACGAATTTCTGTCATGAAGAGCGTTGCTAAGTTGCGAGGGTCCACGTACAATTATATTTAAATTTTTTTTCTCTTCTCTTTTCCAACTTGCGTGTGCGATGGTGTTAGAAAAATTACAGAAAAATGGGATGCGAGGAGGTGGAAAGAAATAAATTTTTATGAAGGGTGAGCTGGAAAAAAATATTTCAAATACACAAAAAAAAATACTTCAAGGCGTATTGAATTCATTAAATGAGCTTAGAGATAAAAAAAAAGTTTAATTGAAGGAGATAAAAATGAATGGAAAATGGCCTTCGTTGCTTGCTTACTTTACAGCTAATCGGTTTTTTTAAGTTGATATTTATGAAAAAAATGTTATTTTTTGATGATTAATGTTGAATTGAGATTTAACGTCTTATCGTGATTTGAGATGGCTCTTTTTGTGTAATTATAAATAAATGAGGGGACTTCAGGACACTGCAGACAAAACTAGACTTCCAATAGGATCTGATGAACGCTACAAAGAGTCCACATTACGTTTACAATGGTTTTTGAACTTCTTGTAGCTCGAATTTAAAAAAATGCAATAATATTTATTTATTTCAAAGTTAGAAGGTTGATTTAAATGAAAGAATTTAAAACATATTGCATCTAATGACTATAAATCAGGTGCAAACCAAAACATCATTTTCAGGATGTATTTAATCATTTAAGTCCCACAGAATTAATTTTAGGATGCTGCTGATTATGATGATCTTCAATATGTTGTGAAGCATTTTAAGCCTAGAATTGATTATTTCAATTTATTATTTAAAGCAAATAAGATATTGAGTAATTCACTATTGCAAGGTTTTAATGTTTTTGTCTGACATTTGCCATAAATTTATTTAAAATCTAGGGCATAAACGTGAAAAAATCAAGTCAATAATTTTAACAGATCTGCGAATAATAGCAAAATTCTAGTTCAAATATTTAAACATCTAGTCTAAAATTTTAAAAATCTACTCCAGAACATTATTCATTAATTTAAAAAATCTAGTGCGTATTTTCAAAGATCTAATCTATAATTTCGAAAAATTTTATAAAAATCTAGTCCAGGATTCCGAAAATCTTGTCCATATGACCAAAAATCTAATCTATAATTTCAAAATCTAGTAAATTAATCAAAAAATCTAGTGCAATAATAAAAATCTAGTCCATTAATCGAAAATCTAGTCCATTCGTCAAAAAAACCGGTCCAGAATTTCAAAGATCTAAATTATGGTTAAAAAATATAGTCAAATAATCCTAAAATTTAGTCCAGAATTTTAAAAATCTAGTCCATATTTTCAAAAAACAAGTAAAACTTTTTTATCACCGATTTCAACTTACATAAACATTCTTTTTCTGCAGCTTTCAACCGTCGATGGTTTTTGCTTTAAAACATACTGTCTAATACCCAATGCATAGTTGACGAAGTAGTCATTCCAGTCAATCTTTTTGACATCAATTTCAAATTTGTCTTCATCTTCTTTGCTCATTAAATTTAAGAGCTTGTCAACATTTTTTGAATGAAACTTGAACTCGGTGAGTTTGAAGAATTCTAAAGATTCGTTGGCAACTTGAAGTTTGTCTTGGATTTTGACCATTCTGAATTTATATTGACTTAATGACTTGAAAGGCTGAATTAGTATCAAAATACTCACATTGGCTTATTTCCTGACAATTTTGATACTCCATCAATTATGTAAGCAGGAAGATAGTGACAAAATATAGAGTTAATGCTGTGGAAAAGCTTATTTGTTGTTACGTATATTGTTGGATACCGAAGTGCTCCCTCTGATAAAATAAAATAATCTAGTACTTCTGTATGATCAATTATAAGCTCACCTTAGATTTTTATACTTCCACGCGTCACTTAGTGAATTGTGATTCTTTCTAGTTATTTTTTAAAAATTAAAAAGTTTATTACATATATTTTTTTAAACTTTTTAATTTTAAACCTCTAGTACTTTTAAAAAATTTAAGTTTTAAAAAAAATTAAAATTTTTTCAAACAAGGAATTTAAAAAAAATCCAAAATATTTTACGAAATAATATAAAAAAAATAAAAAATCATGATATTAAATGTTTAATTAAATTTTTAAAATTAAATAACATAGAAGTTCAAGTTGATAAGAAATAAACTCAACAAAGAAAGGTCAGCGTACACAAATGTTACATATAAAGACGCGCATATGATTGTACAACCTTCATATTATTTTATTCTGCTTTTTTCATCTTTTATTTTTATTCACACTGAGATTTGTGTTAATTTTGACCACAGTTCGAGCATTTTGTACAACTTCTAAATATATTAAATGACTAAGGCATTTCCTCCTTCCCATTAAGACCCAAACGAGTAATTAAATACATCTAAACCTGTTTTTATAGTCGACTTCTAGAGGACCTGCATTGAATGAGGTGATAAGAAAGCTAAAGTCCTTAATATCACAAATTGTCAGAATGTTTTGAAGGATAGAGCTGTTTATAGACGATATCTAGGACCACGTGCACCCCAACCAAGGAATCAAGATAGTAAGTTTCTAAAACTTGAATTTAACGTCTTCATTGCGAGCTCTCAATGAAATTTATCCGAAACAGCGAATGGAGCTTCAAGGAGGGACCAGCCACTCCTGCCACTGGTGCCACAAAAGACTCTTTATTTGAAATTTTATCATAAATTGCCTTCCTTTGAGAGGACGTATTAAAAATAATTGTCATTCTTTAATAAATAAAATGAGTTATATTGTCAATCAATTATCAAAAATTTGCATAAAATTTTGAACTAATCTTAGGTAATTCCAAATCATAAAAAAGAGGCTTAAAAATGACAATTGCAAGCGTTTTATCGACGTCAATAATTAATTTAATGACAAAAATCAAAAAAATAATCTCAACTATACAATTTTTCATTTTGTGACAAAAAAAGGAAGCAGGACAATATTTAAAGATTTAACATTTAATACGTCACAAGCTGCAATTTTTGAATCAACTGCAAATAAAAATATTCAGCAAGATTCTGTAGAAAAAATTTCAGAAGTCCTCGTGTTATTGATCGAGGGACTTAAGCGCATTTTTGTGTTAGCGATCAGTAATTGATTATCTAATTATTTTGCGTTCAACAAATAATTACAATGAATGTCCAAATAGACAGTCTTTATCATTTAACGGTTTTTTGGAATTCAAATTTTTTACCGGTTAAAAAAATCAAATTTTTGAACGCATCCTGATTACAATTTTTACAACGGTAGAAAATAATTCAAGTTTCTAAACGCATCCATCACGTGTTTTTCATATGAAATAAAAAAATCATTAATTAATTACGAAACAAGTTTCAAAAATGCGCTAAAAAGACAACTTTTTGAAGTCAAAAATACCAAAACGGAGTTAAATTATTAAAAAAATTATTTTTTTCATCTTATTTAAATTTTTTTCATTTTCACGATCTCCGCTGTGTTTTTAATTCTCCTTCGCTGTTGATTTATATAAAAAAATATTCTTAACGCAAACGACCCGGGAACTGAATATCATTCATTCTATGGAGGAGTCATCTGTCGTTAACTGGGAGCCCCATTTGCTTTTTTTCTTAATTGAAAGTTGAATTTTTGTTCTTCGAATTGTTTAAAATTGTGTAAAAAAACATTCAAAACTTGCAATTTAATATTCAACAATCAGCAAAGAAGCCAAAAAACAAACATTTGCCTTTGAAGCTCGGTACATCAACCCTCGCCTAAAGTGAACAAAATACAAAAAAAATCCTCATTTACATCAAAAACGCCAAGATGACGAGGACGAAGGAGTAAAAAAAAATTACAGAAGAAAAGTTTAAAGGCGAAAAAAATTGTTGGAAATTTTTCACCGATAAAACTTTTCTTTTATTTTTTTTACATCTCTGCAGCATCAAAAACGACAGAGTCAGAAAAGGCCTCACATAATGTGCGCTACACAAAAAAAGGAAAGTAAATGAAATTGAAAAGAAAAGAAGTAAAAAGTCGTTCATCATCACGACCGAGGGTGAATGCTGAGAATGATTTTTAAAGTGGGAGAATAAAAAAAAAATTAAAAATGAAGAAGAAATCAGCATGAATGTTTAAGGTTTAAGTGAATAAAGCGATTTTCTAGTTCAGGTGCGCTCACAGGCAGGGATTTGAGGTTCAGATTTTCACACTAGGTTTTTCAGGTTTTGGAGCCTTCTTCCAAGATTTTTTTTAAGTATTCAGGAGCCTTTACACTATATTTCAATGATTCAGTTGCCTCTACACCAGATTCTAAAAATTCTGGTACCTTTTAACTAGATTCTAAAACTTCAGGTGCCTTTACACCGAATTCTAAAGATTCAGCTGCCTTCACACCAAATTTTTAAGAGTCAAATGCCTTCACACTAGGTTTTTGAGGTTTTGGAGGCTCCATTCAAGATTTTTTAAGTATTCAGGAGCCTTTACACTATTTTTTAATGATTCAGTTGCTTCTTTACCAGATTCTAAAAATTCTGGTGCCTTTAAACTAAATTCTAAATATTCAGGTGCCTTTACACCGAATTTCACAGATTCAGGTGCCTTAACACCAGGTTTTTTAGATTCAAGTGCCTTTACACTAGAGTTCAAATATTTCAGGTGTCATCACACTAGTTTATAATTGAAAAAATCAACTCCTTTTCTACCAGACTGCCATCCAACCAAATCTTCAATCTATTCAAACTATAGCAACCAAATTCAACTTCAAAATAGCAAGGAGAGTCGTGAACAAAAAAAGTGGCAAATGAAATGGAAGGATTACAGCGAGAATGAAGAAAAAAATGTTTTTTCTATCAAATTTTCCTCCGCTTTTACTCATTTTCTTCTTTGTTGATTGACTGACGCTCACTTTTAGATATCGAAATGTCGAATAATGAAAAATGTTGCTCATCATGATGAAGTTTTTAAGATAAAATTTCTATTTTATTGCCTCTTTTAAGAATAAATTGAAAATGAATGAAAATGTAAAAAATTGTTATAGTTAAGGATTGGGAATAGAAAAAGAGGACAAAAAAATTGATTATAATTGCAATTAGAAATAGTTGAAGTGATCTTATATTTTGATTAAAATCTGTCAAGATTTGTTTTTAAGTTTTGAGATGAAAATAAGCTTAGTTGGTGGTAATGGTTCAATGGACAATAGAAAGATGGAAGAATAAATTCAGTAAATATTTTTAAAAGCGAGAAGTTAGCAGCCGTTCATAAATGACGTCTATCATTAAGAAAAAAGGTGTCTGGAATTTTGTGATGTTTAAAACAAAATAAATTTTAAAATGGATCGAGGGAATCTGAAGAAATTATTTTGGAATAGACGTCATTTATTATCATCCCTTATCCTGGTTTTCATTTTTAAAAACTATTTCAAAAATCAGTTTTTTTATTTTATTGTTTTTATTATTTTTAAATTTTAAAAACTGTATAATTGATAATTTTGGTTTGTTAATATTGACAAGCTAACATGTGGAGTTCTTGTAAAGCACACATAGCATGTAATCTACAAAAAGAGTGACATCAGGTCGACGGAATCGGATTTTATAGAAGTCGCATGCTGTTTTTTTGCCACAAGTTAAAATTTTAACAACTCACATATCAATTTTTTCTTATTAATTTCAAAATAACCACAGTCAAATTTATAATTTGAAATAATCCAAAACATCCGAAAAAAGCAAGCATTAGCATATTAAATAAGTCTGATGATTCCTTGCCTTTAGTCACATACTCGATGATTCTAGTTTCAATGCCATTTAGTGTATCATTTAAAGAAACTTTAAGGTCAGGTTGAATCATTTGTGTTCCATTGAATTTTTCAATAATTTTTAAAATACGAGAATTTATTTTGTCGATGCTTTCAGGTTGTGCTTTCAGTGGACTTAGTGTCTTTTTGAGCTCACTTTTAACAGTTTGCAGTTGGTTATCCGTGTCAGTTAAATAAGCAGAAAGCATTTTACTCAGATCTCCTCCAACTCGATCAAGTTCTTGAATTTTTGGAGTTATAAGTTGCTGGTCATTCTTGATGCTGTTTATAGTTGACTGTAATGAGTTTTCTGATTGCTTGATGTCATCGAATGACGTTGTGAGTTTATTTTGAATATTATTCATCAAATTTGATGCCTCAATCTTTGAAGTTGTTGCTACTTTTTCAATATCTTCAAGTTTTTGCTTTGAATTCCAGTAATTTTGGGTTTTTATGCTTGAAATTTCTTTCAATTTTTCTTTGTAAGATGAAGGAAGTAAAATTTTTGAGTTTTTAACTTTATTCTCAAGATTTTGTAGTTGCTGACTAAAAATTGATGAAGTTTCAGAATTAACGCAAACCAGTGAGTTTTCAAGCTGTTGCAAGTCACTTTCTATATTTAAAATGTCAAAATTGTTACATTTTTCCTTCACTTCGTTAATTAAGATCGTTGAATTAATGGAATCTGTTGAGGCTTTGTTGATGCAAATATTATCATAAAGTTTTAAGAAAACTAGATTTTTCAGTACATCAAAGATTTTTGAACTTATGTAAAAAATTCTGTTGTATGAAAATTCAACATATTTAAGTTTCGAATTGTAGTCAAATAAATTATCGTCGAGAACTTCAATATTATTGTTAAACAAATTAAGTTCCACCAATTTTAAGAATGGCTTAACATCCGACTGCTGAATTTCCCTAATTCGTCCATGAAAAATGGCAATTGCTTTTATATTTACATAAAAATTTGCAATATTTCTTGGAAAATAATGAATAGTATTATTTTTAGCAATAAATCCAGTTACGTCGCTGCTGTCTTTAGACACCATATGATCCCCTGTTACAGAACTTATGACTGCCGATTCCTTTGTGATCATTAATAATTTATTTTGAACATCACATATGTAGACATCTCCTGCTGCAGCCCAGTCAGCTTTGTAATAGTTACATGAAGTTGTTGCTGACATTGAATCATTAAATAATGCTGATAGGCTGAGAAGAACGCTAGTTGATGATTTAATTTTATTAATTTTTTTCAATTAATTCTCAATAAAACTATGGAAATAAATAAGGATGCCATAGCAGGATGTAGCTTGAAAGCATTGCTAAGTTTGTTAAAGATTATATCTCGAATAGGACTCGAACCCACGTCCTACGATTATTGGTTTCATGCTCCTACCACTGAGCTATTAAGATTACGCGACTATATGGCTTAATGATATTTTTAAGGAACACCCTTTTTTGTCTCTACTTTCTGTGCCTGATGATCTAAGTGTTGTCATTGTCAAGGGCATTCACAATCAGAAGCTATCACATCTCAACAAAATACAAATAAAATAGCAAACTTATGAAATCATCTTTTCCAATTTAATTAGAATGACAATCAAACAATAAATTAAAAGATTATCTTAAATGATCCGCCATTTCCCTTACTTTTCTTAGATTACAATGATTGGTTTTGATTTTACAATCTAAAGTATGAAGCTCAAGTTAAATCATAACTAAGGTGATATTTTCATCATCAAGACAGGACTTAAAACACAAAACTTTTCAACTTAACTAATAACTTACAAGCAAAACTATTGAATATAAATGATTTAAAATCAAAATACTTACAGCATAAAACCTTGAAGAATCATTTTTCTATTTATTGAACAATAAATTGAATAAAATTTTAAATAAACAGTTTATCAAGCTAGTTAAAAACATTAAGTGAGTTTTATTTGATAAACATTAAAACAAGTTTTAGGACAATTAGTAATTTAATGTAAATGTATCATTCAGATGATTCTCTTTTTTTATAATAATGAAACATCAAAATACTTGAAACTATTTTTTACGTGAATCATTTAATTTTAATAGTAATAATGATGATTACTCGTAGCAGAAATTTTCTAGTAATTTCCTAGTAATTTACTGGATAACTTTCTATTTTCTACTTGCTATTTACTAGTCAAAATCCAAATTCAAATCTTCGCCAAAGACCCGCATTTTCACTTGCTTATTGACCAGTCAACTCGCTTACAATTTAACTAGTAATTTACTAGCAAATTTTTAAAAAATTTAAATGAATATAACCGTTGATTTCCACGTGTTCTTTTGATTTTTTTTATTTTTGTAAATTATTGTAAAAGTATTAGTGTGTACTTATTTAAAGCTAATTAAAGTACACTAACACTATGAAAAAATAAATAAAAGACTTAATTTAATTAAGTCAAAACACTGATGAACACCCAAACCTAAGGAAGATAAATAATTATTTGAAAGTCACATACAAATTTGGATCGACCTTATAAAGGTGATTTCTGCGCGCTCTTGTGAAGTATATGGCAAATGCCAAATTTAGAACAAAATTTTTTATGATGCAAAAAATTCTGTTTTTGATGATTTTTCGTAGAATTCGAACTTAAGCAGATTTGATCAAACATTTTACATGGGAATTTGCTAGTAATTTGCTAGTAAATACCAAGTGTAATTTATTAACAGTAAGTTGTTTTAATAATAACTAGTAAATTGCAAGTAGTAGAATAAAAAGACTAGCAATTTGCTATTTAGTCTCGCTAGGGTACTAAATTTAATGAATTAAAGATTATTGTCAATATATATATATAATAATATGATGCTGAACATCCACAATGTGCCGTGGCACATTGTTTGGACAACACTGATCTACATTTACAGAAACATATCAAGGACCAACTTGGAAAAATTTAAAAAAAATAACAATCAAAACAATTGTTTGAAAGAATCCATAAATAGACATAAAAACAAGTTTTGAGATGTCCAGTAATGTTGGTCCTGTGCTCTCTTTAATGATTTTCTCAAGATTTTCTACTCTTGTATTGATATAGTTTTCCACATTGTTTTTTGGTGATTTGTCATACGAAATCATCCTTTCCCCGAGTTCTAGCTAAAATTTATAAAAAAAAAAAATTAAAAAGTATAATTAAGAAACTTTGATGTTATTCAATGTCAAATCGATATGATGATTTAGCCAGCATATGTAAACTTTCTGTATGGCACACACGTAATTGTGAATTTGTGGACTCTACTTTATGAGATATACCGCTATACTAGGAGTGTATAAATAAAATGCCGTATCTTATTACACGGGTACAGGAGAAATCGCATAGCATTATTAATGAGCGCCTTCAAATAAAGACTGAAAATACTGTCCAGAACAGTGTTGTCCAAACTGTGTGCCATGACACACAAGTTTGCAATGGAATTTATTTTGAAAAATATGAACTGCACTTAGTGTGTGGTTTTGTTAATGGTTCACTGACGCCCTACTTTGCTCTTCTAAAATGTCTGCATTAATAGGACTAAATAATTACCTGAGATGATGTCAAATCTGCTAATGACTTCTTTATATCGTCTTTAATAACTTCAAATATTTTAACAATATTTCCTGATTTTAGCGACATTGCCGTATTCAAATTATCCAAGTTCTTATTGAGGACATCAACTTCTTTTATTAAATCAGTTTGTGTTGTTTTGATGCTGTCTAGTATTATTTTAAGTGAGCTGTTACTAATGTCTTGTTGTTTCTGTGAGCACGATAAAAGTGAGTTTTCCAAATATTTTTCAAGAATATGAACATTTGCATTTAGAATTTCCGGATTAAATGTCTTTAATGCTTGGAAAAGATTTAATTCATTTAAAATATTTTTGAAATCTTCATTGATTGTTTGTGATTTTGTTGATGTTATTGCTGTTATTGAGTCCAAAGTGTTTTTTACACTTGAAATTTTAATTTGCTCGCTTTGTTGATCTTTCCTGATACTATTCATAGTTGACTGTAATGAGTTTTCTGATTGTTTGATGTCATCGAATGACGTTGTGAATTTATTTTGAATATTATTCATCAAATTTGATGCCTCAATCTTTGAAGTTGTCACAACTTTTTCAATATCTTCAAGTTTTTGCTTTAAATTCCAGTAATTTTGGGTTTTTATGCTTGAAATTTCTTTCAATTTGTCTTTGTAAGATGAAGGAAGTGAAATTTTTGAGTTTTTAACTTTATTCTCAAGATTTTGAAGTTGCTGACTAAAAATTGATGAAGTTTCAGCATTAACGCAAACCAGTGAGTTTTCAAGCTGTTGCAAGTCACTTTTAATGATCAAATAATCGTGATTGTAGCATTTGATTTTTACATCCTCAATAATTTTTATAGTTTCGGCTGCATCATCCATAGCTTCTCTATCAATGCAAAAATTATTGAGCAGTCTTAAATACGTTAATTTCTGTAAGTTTTTAAAGACTTTTAAGCCAATGTGAACAATCTTATTTCCACTAAAACTGACATACTGAAGATTTGGATTATAAGCGAAAAGTTCATCCTCAATGACCTCAATTTCGTTTTTATGAATCTCAAAAAGCAACAATTTTGGCAAAAATTTTAAATCGCTTTGACGGATCTCCTTAGAGCAGAGATATTTCAACCTGGTGACTTTGAAAGTATTTAAATAATTTTATAAACCTCAAATTTTAATTTAAATGCTTAAAAATTCAATGAAAAAAATCATGATTTAATTTTTATTTTGCGTATTGTGATTCATTTAATTTTATCTTAAAACAGTCAGATTGACATTTCATTTTAAATTCTAAAATCCAGTTGCATAAACATTTCTAGGTCAATTTCATTTAAATCACAAACTAAGTTTATTTAAAATAAGCCTTCTCTATAATTCATCTATTTTTTTTAATGTTTCAAAAATCTAATTTGCATTGCCCTTCAGACTATTTTGTTCATTTAATTGTCCATTATAAGCAACTGATATAAATCAAACTAGCAAGTTTAAAATATAAGAAAAACCAGTTTTTCATAACGGTTTCAACCCTTTTCCGACCAATTTTATGTCCACAATGCAATGTGCAAGTTCATATGACTAAACAAAAAAAAATGTTCCATGTGTGTCCGAAATAAAAGACTTAAAGGGGAAGACGCAAGCCCTTTTCTTGATTCTCTGTGAAGAATTTACGGTTAAATCTGGTCAAACCGGTCTCAACCCTTTCATTCTCTCTCGCTCATTGAATTGTTTGTCCGGAAGACAATTGATGACATTAAAAACTCAGGTAGTCAAAATAGACAGAGGAAGAGCCATTGGATAAGCGTGAGAACCGGTTTTTCTTTTGTCCTGTTTTGAGATTTTTTTTATTCTCTCTAGATGTTCATCCCTAACGGAACTTTTAATTGTTGGTAGTTTCAAATGATAGTTTGATATCCAATGCCGCGGAGATGAGATAGGAAAAGGTATCTTTAAGAAAAATCGGAGAATCTTTGCTGTTAATTTATCTTGTTGTCTAAAACTGCATCAATATAAAATTGACTAAGTTTCGCTTTTATTATCCGACTAGTTTTAGTTTCGATTATCAGACTAGGTTAAGTTTGATTTATCTTGTTGTCTAAAACTGCATTAAAGAAACATTGACCAGGTTTTGTTTTATTATCCGACTAGGTAATGTTTCGATTATCTGACTAGGTTTAGTTTCGATTGTCCGACTAGGTTAAGTTTCGATTATTCGGCCAGGTTTAGTTTCGATTATCCGACTAGGTTTAGTTTCGATTATCCGACTAGGTTTAGTTTCGATTATCCGACTAGGTTTAGTTTCGATTATCTGACTAAGGTTCGACTGAACTCTCCATCAAGGTTTAATGTCATTATTCGTCAAGATTTAGCTTCAATTATACGACTAGAGTTAATTTCGATTATCCGACTAGATTAAGGTTTAATTATCCGACGACTAAACAGTCTAGAGTCAACTTCAATTGTCCGACTAAAGTTCCTTTTGATTTTCCGACTAAAGTAAGCTTGGATTATTAGACTAGATTTTGACCCGATTTACCGACTAGAGTATGAATCGTTTATCCGATCTAATTATGAATTCTGCAATCTGAGCCACAATTATTTGACAAGAAAAAAAAGCGTTTAAACGACCACTTAACTCAAAAGAATTTCTTACTTTTAAAAACATTTTTTTTACAATTTTAGGGTCACTCGAAAGGACTTTTTTAAGATGAGAAACCAGTTTTAACCCTTTCTTGATTTTCAATCTCTCTCCTTTATTTTATTCAATTTCCATATGAATTATGCAAATTTAGAGACCGTTGGCTATAGAAAAAGTCCCGTTATTGTTATTAGTTCCCGTCCATATGCCATATATATTTGAGTTTATTCAACATTAGAGAGTATGCATGACACATATATGTATGCATAGATTATATATGACACAGAGTAAATAATGAGCACAATAATGTTAATTTTAATGACTATGACGATGATGATGATGATATGAGTAATTTGATGCATATGTGATGTTCTTCCTGCCTGATTTCATTCATGTCTTGATTTTACTTACATTTTCATATGTTGTATTTAAAAAAGGGGGTCAATGTGATTTTGAAGATGAGGAAAATCGTCAGTTTTGAATAAGATTTGTCCACGGATGGACATGGAATTGTGAATTGTGGACACAAAATTTTAAAGGTTGATGTGAAATTTTTGGGATTTTTAATGGTTTTGAATTTTTTTTGATGGTTTGTGATTGTTTTTGACTTTTTAAAGAGTTGAAAAATGCTTAGCGAAACCTGAGGTGTTATTTTTAATTGGATGGCTTAGTGACACTGATTTGGAGAACAAACTATTAGTTTATGATTAAATGACTCGAAATTATAAAATCTGCTTAAACTTTCTTCTAAGTTTCTAATTTTGATCACAATTGACACTCACTAGAATGACTAAAATGAAGTATGTCCATGAGATTTTACCGATTTTTTGGCAAAATGTGGGAAAACTTGAACAAATTTGTCGTTCGGGTTAATTTGAGCTCAACAGCGCCCTTAAAAATCAAAATTATGCACAAGATCTCACTTAAACCTACTCAAACTACTTCAAATCAATTTCTCAAAACAATAACAAAAGAATAAATCAGACAAAGACCATTTATCAAAACTACACTTCATCCCCAACACTAATTAAGAAATCCTCCTTAATTTACACAGAAAAATATCCAAAAAAGAAGAAAACTTTTACAGAAAAGTAAAAGAAAATAAAGTGAAAAAAATGTGAAAATTGAAAAACTTTTCTCATCTCCAAGTGATGGAAAAAAGGAGAATTCAAAGAAGTGCAACAAAAAGTGAAAAAAAGAAGTTTCCGTTTTTGAAGTGAAAAAAAAACTAAAACTCGTTGAAGTGAGGAAATGAAAAGTTGAAGGAAACTTTCTCGTCGTGACCAGTTTTATGGATCGGATGCAGGAAGATGAGGAAGAAAAATATTGAAGAATATTTATTGAAAATTGGAAAATAAATTTATTTTATGTAGTTTTTATCGAAAGTATTGAATAATGGTTCGAAATGAAAGTGGAAACAGCAACCTAGATATTCACGGATAGAGTAAATCATAGGTTGCCAATGCTAATGTTAATCCATTGTCGATGTCTCTGTCGTCATCTACAAATTTAAGTTTAAAGAACTAAGAGCTTACGATCCCAAAAATCGCATCCTTACCTTTCATTGGCGCTCTCATGATGGCCTGACTAGCCAAAATCAAGGCTTTATCCAAAGGAACCTGACCACGACCTTCGTCATAAGCCTTCACTAATTTAAGAACCTGTTCTCGCTATTGCCATGAAAACATTGAGTCTTTGTTCCTAAACACCTCAGCGACATGCTCAAGAGTACCGAGAATCTCCCAAGAGACTGTAGAGTCTAAGTCATGCTGTTCAAAAGACTTTTAAAAATAAAACAGTCTATCAGATAAAACACAAACTAGTTTCAGTGGATTTATCTTCAGATATATTAATGTCTAAATTCCTTAATTTTTGGATAAACAACACTTGATGACAAGATTTCCATTTGTCTCTTGCTTGCTCTGTCACCTAATTTGGCTTTGTCTACTTACTGAACAGACATTCTTGCTTCTTTATCGAGTTTTCACTGGAAACTCGAAAACACCTTTCAACAACATTTAGTTGAGATTTTGTGTTCTAATGAAACAGTGAACTACTTTATAATAACAGGCTGACCTCGGCATATTCTGAAGACTTTTTGGACACATTGATTCGGGTCCTTAAATATTATCTTTCGGTAAAAGAGTGATGGCAAAGCTTAAAACTAATATGAATTTTGTATAAAAGGCAGTCAGGTCATTTTGAGCTTTACTTTATGGTCAACTTAGTAGTGTAAAATTCAAACTAATCGAAACTTTAAGCAAAATATGTAATTTGTGATTTTTGAAAATAAAAACAATATTCTATAAATTATTTACAATTGAACATAAAAGTAAAGTCCAATTCAGATATAAATTTAAAAAATAATCATCAAAAATGTCTAAAAACTCTGAAGAAAAATCAATAAATTCCCAAAAAGTTTCATTAAAAATTAAAAGAAAATGTCTTCGACTTCTTATTTTTCCATCCATCCACACCGTCCATATTTCATTTCACCCATTCCATAAATTTTCCTTTCATTTTTGTTCCCTTTTATTCCATTTCGATGCCATTAAATCACCCGCGCGCGCTGAAACACAAAACAAAGCAGCAAAAGCAACAAAAAAAATCCCTCAATTTCTCATTTTTCATCGTCGTTTCTGCTGCTTTTTTTTCACTAACCCATTCCACCAATCGAAAAAATTGTTGGCAGTGGGCAATGACAGTAAGAAATTATTGGAGGGTGGGAAATGAATGGAAGTAGGGTGGAATTGAATGAGTTTTACGCGCGGATTCAATTTCAATTTTTTTTTTCTCGATTTTTGATGGAATTTTTTTAAGGGTTCTCGAATTTTTTTTTAAAGAAAAATAAATGAAAGGAATTAAAAATTTGAAAGAATAAAAGGGTTGCTGGGGATGTACAGGCAGTGGAAATAATCGAAGCGGACTTGAGAAAATATTTACATTTTTAATGAAATTTTTTTTTCATGAATTATTTTTTTGAAGGGGGTGAAAAAAAATTATTCCTTTCGAAGATCAAAATGCTTAATTGTTAAGACATTATGTTGAAAATTTGGTGAGCCTAGTTGAAAATTGACTTGACTCCTTTGATTTGTAAGGTTGAGCTTGTCCTTAATACACAAAATCAAGGCAAAATTAGAACTCTGAAAAACGATCAACTTAGGAGAATAGGCATAATAGCTACAAGACTACTGATGTATTTACCAAAAGACCTGAATAAACTTTGTTTCTGCTGCATAAGAAAAATCAACTCAAGAGCCAAATTATATGGCAATAGTTTCGGCCATTTATGAAACAAATCTACAAGCCATACAACTCGATGTTAATTGCAAATAAATTTAACTTTTTACAATTATTTTAAAATCTACTCACAGGCCGTACAAATCTGTTGAGTCTACCTTAATCTTCGCCTAAAACTCGCTCTTGGGTCTTCCAATTTACGATTACAAGCGCAAAAACTTACAAGTTTTACACTAATCATGCAGACAGCATTACATTTGGTAAAGAAATTAAAATTAAAAAGAGATATGGTTGTTGAAACTTAATTATTTCAAATCTAAAATATTTTTTTTTTAAATTTTGACCGAAATTGAATAAAAGTTTCTTATTTAAAACAGTTTTTTTTCAATTTTACAGTTCTTAAATTTTGTCATTTTTTTTATCCACTCCTATAAAGTCAAAAACTATCGAATTTATTTATTATTTGTTATTTTAAAATTATTTAAAAAAAATAAAAAAAACCATAAAAAATCATAAAAATGTAATCAAAAATTCTTTATTCATTTTAAATTTCAGCTAAATTTTATAAATTTTTTTTTTCGCATTCAAAATGATTCATTTCATTCAATAGCTTATAAAAAATCTTCAATCAAAGTCGTCAACCCACTCCTTATTGTCGTTTCTTATTTCAGATTTTTTGTATTTATTTCATAAAATTTTTCATTTTCAGAAATGCGATAAAAATTTCCATCAAAAAGGGATGAAAATAAATTTTTAACAAAAGGGTGATTTTAATGTCTTTTTCTCTAGATTTTTTTTTTGTTCGAAAAAAAAACACGCGGAAAAAATTATTTTTCATCATCTTGAAAAGAGCGCAGAATGAATGCTTAATGAGAGGACGCCATAATAATTTATAAAAAAATTAATAGTATTTATTCCTTTTACTTCAATTAATAAAGATTTATTAGTGAAAACTGGCTAGTTTTTGGACATAATAATGATAAATTTTCAAATACCTTTTTGTTTTTCTTTTTTTAAAATTAAGATAAAAAAAACATCGAAAATTAAAAAAATTCCGTCGACCTAAATGTCGTGTCTCCATCACTTTCCATTCTTCAATAAGCAATCATGTCTCCATCCCCAACTAAATTTCAACTCCACCCGAATGCTGTAATAAGTTGTCTTGTTTGAATTCGCAAGCACAAAAGTGCGAGGAGATGGAAAAAGTGATGAAAAATTAAATTCAATTTTTTACAGTTTTTTTTATCATCTTCATTTTCTTCCTGCTGAGCAGTTCTTTATCTTTTCGCTGTTGTAGATCAATGAAAAATAATGGAAAAAAAAGAGAAAAAAATAATAAAAAATTTTTATTATAATGATTTTTTAATAATTTTTTACATATTAAGATGGTCAAAATTTGGTAATCTTAAAGCTTTTATAAAGATATTTTAGCTTTATATGTAACAAAGTTGATTTCCATGAAGAATCAATAATCAATTCAAATAAATAATAAGTAACCAACAATAAAATACAAAATTAAATAAAACTGCTAGAAACTTTTTTTGTTGCACCCAAAAGATGGCGGACTAGGCAACTTAAAAATTCAAAAAAAAACTAAAAATGATAATAAGAATGCCACTCAATAGATGTCGTAAGTGATTCTTAAAAGAATTTTTCTTACTTTTTCTTTTTAAGATTTTTCAAAGTAAAAGTCTTATTTTCAAGATGAAAGATGTCCGTAGTTAATTGCATAGATAATTCTAGCTAAGCAAAATGAAAAAGCAGAAAAAAAACTAGCCAACGATACTAGAAATATTGCAAATCTATTTTTAAACAGAAAAATCATCATTAAAGCCCACAATTAACCTTTTTGGAATTAATACTGATAAACATGCAAATTTAATACTTTAAATGCCACAAATCTAAAATTAAATAATGAAACAAAAAAAAACTTGATTGCAGTGCGATAAAAGACGCTTTATTTCGTATAAAAAGACAAAATTCTCATACACTGAATTATGCTTCCTGGAAAACAACAAAATAAAGACTTAGTGCAGGATAGACGAAAGTGATTCTAATTTAATACAAAGTAGGCATTAAAATTGCCACATAGGATAGCGTAGAAGATAGAGGAAAGTAGAAGGTTATTTATGTCCAATCGAGTATTCATCTAATCACCACTGGTTAACGATACGGATTGCTTAAGTAGACTATTTAGAGCTTAAAATAGTGAGGAATTTAAAAATAGTTTCTAGTAGTAATTTAGGAGTTTAAGACATCTTCCAAGCCCTTGACGGCATCTTGGAGTGCTTTGCCAAACTTCTCTTTTTTCTCGGATGTCAATTTTTTGCCATCAACTTCAACACTGCCAGCTTCAAAATCTCCACCTTGTGGTTTGAAGAGCTTAGCCAAAATATCAAAAGTTCCAGTCTTTTTGCTGTTTGATTCATCGCATTCTGGGAATTTGGCGCCATCGCAATTGCAGTTCTTCTTGCAGCAATCTTGGTCGTAGACATCACGGTAGAAGTATTTGAGCAATACATCAATGATCATCTTACGACGTTTGCAATCTGGTGAACAAGTACAGTCACATTGTTCTACAAGATAATTTATAAATATTTGTTAAAAATAAATAAATCTCAGAATAAATAAAAACTTACTCTTTGTGGTAACTTCCTCATTGCTTTCGCTTGATTCGATACAAGTTGTTGGTCCCTCCGTAACAGGTTCTTTAGTGCATTTACAGTTTTCAGGATTAAACTTGCCGCCTATTTCATCACACTTTTTAGATTCTTTAACTCTCATTTCACCATCGCAAATAGCTGGTTCTGGAGTCTCCTTACTCTCACTAGAATCAACACAAGTTGTAGGTCCTTCAGTTAAAGTCGACTCATGGCTTTCACTAGATTCGACACAAGTTGTAGGTCCTTCAGTTAAAGTCGACTCATGGCTTTCACTAGATTCGACACAAGTTGTAGGTCCTTCAGTTGTTGTTTCCTTTGTGCATTCACAAGTTTCAGGATTGAATTTACCATTAATTCTTTCACATTTTTCTTCCTTGATCTTTCTCATCTTGTCATCACATTCACCAGTTTCTTCTGTCGACTCATCTCGAGTTGTGGTTGGAGCTTTAGTTGTTGTTTCCTTTGTGCATTCACAAGTTTCAGGATTGAATTTACCATTAATTCTTTCACATTTTTCTTCCTTGATCTTTCTCATCTTGTCATCACATTCACCAGTTTCTTCTGTCGACTCATCTCGAGTTGTGGTTGGAGCTTTAGTTGTTGTTTCCTTTGTGCATTCACAAGTTTCAGGATTGAATTTACCATTAATTCTTTCACATTTTTCTTCCTTGATCTTTCTCATCTTGTCATCACATTCACCAGTTTCTTCTGTCGACTCATCTCGAGTTGTGGTTGGAACTTTAGTTGTTGTTTCCTTTGTGCATTCACAAGTTTCAGGATTGAATTTACCATTAATTCTTTCACATTTTTCTTCCTTGATCTTTCTCATCTTGTCATCACATTCACCAGTTTCTTCTGTCGACTCATCTCGAGTTGTGGTTGGAGCTTTAGTTGTTGTTTCCTTTGTGCATTCACAAGTTTCAGGATTGAATTTACCATTAATTCTTTCACATTTTTCTTCCTTGATCTTTCTCATCTTGTCATCACATTCACCAGTTTCTTCTGTCGACTCATCTCGAGTTGTGGTTGGAGCTTTAGTTGTTGTTTCCTTTGTGCATTCACAAGTTTCAGGATTGAATTTACCATTAATTCTTTCACATTTTTCTTCCTTGATCTTTCTCATCTTGCCATCACATTCACCAGTTTCTTCTGTCGACTCATCTCGAGTTGTGGTTGGAGCTTTAGTTGTTGTTTCCTTTGTGCATTCACAAGTTTCAGGATTGAATTTACCATTAATTCTTTCACATTTTTCTTCCTTGATCTTTCTCATCTTGTCATCACATTCACCAGTTTCTTCTGTCGACTCATCTCGAGTTGTGGTTGGAGCTTTAGTTGTTGTTTCCTTTGTGCATTCACAAGTTTCAGGATTGAATTTACCATTAATTCTTTCACATTTTTCTTCCTTGATCTTTCTCATCTTGTCATCACATTCACCAGTTTCTTCTGTCGACTCATCTCGAGTTGTGGTTGGAGCTTTAGTTGTTGTTTCCTTTGTGCATTCACAAGTTTCAGGATTGAATTTACCATTAATTCTTTCACATTTTTCTTCCTTGATCTTTCTCATCTTGTCATCACATTCACCAGTTTCTTCTGTCGACTCATCTCGAGTTGTGGTTGGAGCTTTAGTTGTTGTTTCCTTTGTGCATTCACAAGTTTCAGGATTGAATTTACCATTAATTCTTTCACATTTTTCTTCCTTGATCTTTCTCATCTTGTCATCACATTCACCAGTTTCTTCTGTCGACTCATCTCGAGTTGTGGTTGGAGCTTTAGTTGTTGTTTCCTTTGTGCATTCACAAGTTTCAGGATTGAATTTACCATTAATTCTTTCACATTTTTCTTCCTTGATCTTTCTCATCTTGTCATCACATTCACCAGTTTCTTCTGTCGACTCATCTCGAGTTGTGGTTGGAGCTTTAGTTGTTGTTTCCTTTGTGCATTCACAAGTTTCAGGATTGAATTTACCATTAATTCTTTCACATTTTTCTTCCTTGATCTTTCTCATCTTGTCATCACATTCACCAGTTTCTTCTGTCGACTCATCTCGAGTTGTGGTTGGAACTTTAGTTGTTGTTTCCTTTGTGCATTCACAAGTTTCAGGATTGAATTTACCATTAACTCTTTCACATTTTTCTTCCTTGATCTTTCTCATCTTGTCATCACATTCACCAGTTTCTTCTGTCGACTCATCTCGAGTTGTGGTTGGAGCTTTAGTTGTTGTTTCCTTTGTGCATTCACAAGTTTCAGGATTGAATTTACCATTAATTCTTTCACATTTTTCTTCCTTGATCTTTCTCATCTTGTCATCACATTCACCAGTTTCTTCTGTCGACTCATCTCGAGTTGTGGTTGGAGCTTTAGTTGTTGTTTCCTTTGTGCATTCACAAGTTTCAGGATTGAATTTACCATTAATTCTTTCACATTTTTCTTCCTTGATCTTTCTCATCTTGTCATCACATTCACCAGTTTCTTCTGTCGACTCATCTCGAGTTGTGGTTGGAGCTTTAGTTGTTGTTTCCTTTGTGCATTCACAAGTTTCAGGATTGAATTTACCATTAATTCTTTCACATTTTTCTTCCTTGATCTTTCTCATCTTGTCATCACATTCACCAGTTTCTTCTGTCGACTCATCTCGAGTTGTGGTTGGAGCTTTAGTTGTTGTTTCCTTTGTGCATTCACAAGTTTCAGGATTGAATTTACCATTAATTCTTTCACATTTTTCTTCCTTGATCTTTCTCATCTTGTCATCACATTCACCAGTTTCTTCTGTCGACTCATCTCGAGTTGTGGTTGGAGCTTTAGTTGTTGTTTCCTTTGTGCATTCACAAGTTTCAGGATTGAATTTACCATTAATTCTTTCACATTTTTCTTCCTTGATCTTTCTCATCTTGTCATCACATTCACCAGTTTCTTCTGTCGACTCATCTCGAGTTGTGGTTGGAGCTTTAGTTGTTGTTTCCTTTGTGCATTCACAAGTTTCAGGATTGAATTTACCATTAATTCTTTCACATTTTTCTTCCTTGATCTTTCTCATCTTGTCATCACATTCACCAGTTTCTTCTGTCGACTCATCTCGAGTTGTGGTTGGAGCTTTAGTTGTTGTTTCCTTTGTGCATTCACAAGTTTCAGGATTGAATTTACCATTAATTCTTTCACATTTTTCTTCCTTGATCTTTCTCATCTTGTCATCACATTCACCAGTTTCTTCTGTCGACTCATCTCGAGTTGTGGTTGGAGCTTTAGTTGTTGTTTCCTTTGTGCATTCACAAGTTTCAGGATTGAATTTACCATTAATTCTTTCACATTTTTCTTCCTTGATCTTTCTCATCTTGTCATCACATTCACCAGTTTCTTCTGTCGACTCATCTCGAGTTGTGGTTGGAGCTTTAGTTGTTGTTTCCTTTGTGCATTCACAAGTTTCAGGATTGAATTTACCATTAATTCTTTCACATTTTTCTTCCTTGATCTTTCTCATCTTGTCATCACATTCACCAGTTTCTTCTGTCGACTCATCTCGAGTTGTGGTTGGAGCTTTAGTTGTTGTTTCCTTTGTGCATTCACAAGTTTCAGGATTGAATTTACCATTAATTCTTTCACATTTTTCTTCCTTGATCTTTCTCATCTTGTCATCACATTCACCAGTTTCTTCTGTCGACTCATCTCGAGTTGTGGTTGGAGCTTTAGTTGTTGTTTCCTTTGTGCATTCACAAGTTTCAGGATTGAATTTACCATTAATTCTTTCACATTTTTCTTCCTTGATCTTTCTCATCTTGTCATCACATTCACCAGTTTCTTCTGTCGACTCATCTCGAGTTGTGGTTGGAGCTTTAGTTGTTGTTTCCTTTGTGCATTCACAAGTTTCAGGATTGAATTTACCATTAATTCTTTCACATTTTTCTTCCTTGATCTTTCTCATCTTGTCATCACATTCACCAGTTTCTTCTGTCGACTCATCTCGAGTTGTGGTTGGAGCTTTAGTTGTTGTTTCCTTTGTGCATTCACAAGTTTCAGGATTGAATTTACCATTAATTCTTTCACATTTTTCTTCCTTGATCTTTCTCATCTTGTCATCACATTCACCAGTTTCTTCTGTCGACTCATCTCGAGTTGTGGTTGGAGCTTTAGTTGTTGTTTCCTTTGTGCATTCACAAGTTTCAGGATTGAATTTACCATTAATTCTTTCACATTTTTCTTCCTTGATCTTTCTCATCTTGTCATCACATTCACCAGTTTCTTCTGTCGACTCATCTCGAGTTGTGGTTGGAGCTTTAGTTGTTGTTTCCTTTGTGCATTCACAAGTTTCAGGATTGAATTTACCATTAATTCTTTCACATTTTTCTTCCTTGATCTTTCTCATCTTGTCATCACATTCACCAGTTTCTTCTGTCGACTCATCTCGAGTTGTGGTTGGAGCTTTAGTTGTTGTTTCCTTTGTGCATTCACAAGTTTCAGGATTGAATTTACCATTAATTCTTTCACATTTTTCTTCCTTGATCTTTCTCATCTTGTCATCACATTCACCAGTTTCTTCTGTCGACTCATCTCGAGTTGTGGTTGGAGCTTTAGTTGTTGTTTCCTTTGTGCATTCACAAGTTTCAGGATTGAATTTACCATTAATTCTTTCACATTTTTCTTCCTTGATCTTTCTCATCTTGTCATCACATTCACCAGTTTCTTCTGTCGACTCATCTCGAGTTGTGGTTGGAGCTTTAGTTGTTGTTTCCTTTGTGCATTCACAAGTTTCAGGATTGAATTTACCATTAATTCTTTCACATTTTTCTTCCTTGATCTTTCTCATCTTGTCATCACATTCACCAGTTTCTTCTGTCGACTCATCTCGAGTTGTGGTTGGAGCTTTAGTTGTTGTTTCCTTTGTGCATTCACAAGTTTCAGGATTGAATTTACCATTAATTCTTTCACATTTTTCTTCCTTGATCTTTCTCATCTTGTCATCACATTCACCAGTTTCTTCTGTCGACTCATCTCGAGTTGTGGTTGGAGCTTTAGTTGTTGTTTCCTTTGTGCATTCACAAGTTTCAGGATTGAATTTACCATTAATTCTTTCACATTTTTCTTCCTTGATCTTTCTCATCTTGTCATCACATTCACCAGTTTCTTCTGTCGACTCATCTCGAGTTGTGGTTGGAGCTTTAGTTGTTGTTTCCTTTGTGCATTCACAAGTTTCAGGATTGAATTTACCATTAATTCTTTCACATTTTTCTTCCTTGATCTTTCTCATCTTGTCATCACATTCACCAGTTTCTTCTGTCGACTCATCTCGAGTTGTGGTTGGAGCTTTAGTTGTTGTTTCCTTTGTGCATTCACAAGTTTCAGGATTGAATTTACCATTAATTCTTTCACATTTTTCTTCCTTGATCTTTCTCATCTTGTCATCACATTCACCAGTTTCTTCTGTCGACTCATCTCGAGTTGTGGTTGGAGCTTTAGTTGTTGTTTCCTTTGTGCATTCACAAGTTTCAGGATTGAATTTACCATTAATTCTTTCACATTTTTCTTCCTTGATCTTTCTCATCTTGTCATCACATTCACCAGTTTCTTCTGTCGACTCATCTCGAGTTGTGGTTGGAGCTTTAGTTGTTGTTTCCTTTGTGCATTCACAAGTTTCAGGATTGAATTTACCATTAATTCTTTCACATTTTTCTTCCTTGATCTTTCTCATCTTGTCATCACATTCACCAGTTTCTTCTGTCGACTCATCTCGAGTTGTGGTTGGAGCTTTAGTTGTTGTTTCCTTTGTGCATTCACAAGTTTCAGGATTGAATTTACCATTAATTCTTTCACATTTTTCTTCCTTGATCTTTCTCATCTTGTCATCACATTCACCAGTTTCTTCTGTCGACTCATCTCGAGTTGTGGTTGGAGCTTTAGTTGTTGTTTCCTTTGTGCATTCACAAGTTTCAGGATTGAATTTACCATTAATTCTTTCACATTTTTCTTCCTTGATCTTTCTCATCTTGTCATCACATTCACCAGTTTCTTCTGTCGACTCATCTCGAGTTGTGGTTGGAGCTTTAGTTGTTGTTTCCTTTGTGCATTCACAAGTTTCAGGATTGAATTTACCATTAATTCTTTCACATTTTTCTTCCTTGATCTTTCTCATCTTGTCATCACATTCACCAGTTTCTTCTGTCGACTCATCTCGAGTTGTGGTTGGAGCTTTAGTTGTTGTTTCCTTTGTGCATTCACAAGTTTCAGGATTGAATTTACCATTAATTCTTTCACATTTTTCTTCCTTGATCTTTCTCATCTTGTCATCACATTCACCAGTTTCTTCTGTCGACTCATCTCGAGTTGTGGTTGGAGCTTTAGTTGTTGTTTCCTTTGTGCATTCACAAGTTTCAGGATTGAATTTACCATTAATTCTTTCACATTTTTCTTCCTTGATCTTTCTCATCTTGTCATCACATTCACCAGTTTCTTCTGTCGACTCATCTCGAGTTGTGGTTGGAGCTTTAGTTGTTGTTTCCTTTGTGCATTCACAAGTTTCAGGATTGAATTTACCATTAATTCTTTCACATTTTTCTTCCTTGATCTTTCTCATCTTGTCATCACATTCACCAGTTTCTTCTGTCGACTCATCTCGAGTTGTAGTTGGAGCTTTAGTTGTTGTTTCCTTTGTGCATTCACAAGTTTCAGGATTGAATTTACCATTAATTCTTTCACATTTTTCTTCCTTGATCTTTCTCATCTTGTCATCACATTCACCAGTTTCTTCTGTCGACTCATCTCGAGTTGTGGTTGGAGCTTTAGTTGTTGTTTCCTTTGTGCATTCACAAGTTTCAGGATTGAATTTACCATTAATTCTTTCACATTTTTCTTCCTTGATCTTTCTCATCTTGTCATCACATTCACCAGTTTCTTCTGTCGACTCATCTCGAGTTGTGGTTGGAGCTTTAGTTGTTGTTTCCTTTGTGCATTCACAAGTTTCAGGATTGAATTTACCATTAATTCTTTCACATTTTTCTTCCTTGATCTTTCTCATCTTGTCATCACATTCACCAGTTTCTTCTGTCGACTCATCTCGAGTTGTGGTTGGAGCTTTAGTTGTTGTTTCCTTTGTGCATTCACAAGTTTCAGGATTGAATTTACCATTAATTCTTTCACATTTTTCTTCCTTGATCTTTCTCATCTTGTCATCACATTCACCAGTTTCTTCTGTCGACTCATCTCGAGTTGTGGTTGGAGCTTTAGTTGTTGTTTCCTTTGTGCATTCACAAGTTTCAGGATTGAATTTACCATTAATTCTTTCACATTTTTCTTCCTTGATCTTTCTCATCTTGTCATCACATTCACCAGTTTCTTCTGTCGACTCATCTCGAGTTGTGGTTGGAGCTTTAGTTGTTGTTTCCTTTGTGCATTCACAAGTTTCAGGATTGAATTTACCATTAATTCTTTCACATTTTTCTTCCTTGATCTTTCTCATCTTGTCATCACATTCACCAGTTTCTTCTGTCGACTCATCTCGAGTTGTGGTTGGAGCTTTAGTTGTTGTTTCCTTTGTGCATTCACAAGTTTCAGGATTGAATTTACCATTAATTCTTTCACATTTTTCTTCCTTGATCTTTCTCATCTTGTCATCACATTCACCAGTTTCTTCTGTCGACTCATCTCGAGTTGTGGTTGGAGCTTTAGTTGTTGTTTCCTTTGTGCATTCACAAGTTTCAGGATTGAATTTACCATTAATTCTTTCACATTTTTCTTCCTTGATCTTTCTCATCTTGTCATCACATTCACCAGTTTCTTCTGTCGACTCATCTCGAGTTGTGGTTGGAGCTTTAGTTGTTGTTTCCTTTGTGCATTCACAAGTTTCAGGATTGAATTTACCATTAATTCTTTCACATTTTTCTTCCTTGATCTTTCTCATCTTGTCATCACATTCACCAGTTTCTTCTGTCGACTCATCTCGAGTTGTGGTTGGAGCTTTAGTTGTTGTTTCCTTTGTGCATTCACAAGTTTCAGGATTGAATTTACCATTAATTCTTTCACATTTTTCTTCCTTGATCTTTCTCATCTTGTCATCACATTCACCAGTTTCTTCTGTCGACTCATCTCGAGTTGTGGTTGGAGCTTTAGTTGTTGTTTCCTTTGTGCATTCACAAGTTTCAGGATTGAATTTACCATTAATTCTTTCACATTTTTCTTCCTTGATCTTTCTCATCTTGTCATCACATTCACCAGTTTCTTCTGTCGACTCATCTCGAGTTGTGGTTGGAGCTTTAGTTGTTGTTTCCTTTGTGCATTCACAAGTTTCAGGATTGAATTTACCATTAATTCTTTCACATTTTTCTTCCTTGATCTTTCTCATCTTGTCATCACATTCACCAGTTTCTTCTGTCGACTCATCTCGAGTTGTGGTTGGAGCTTTAGTTGTTGTTTCCTTTGTGCATTCACAAGTTTCAGGATTGAATTTACCATTAATTCTTTCACATTTTTCTTCCTTGATCTTTCTCATCTTGTCATCACATTCACCAGTTTCTTCTGTCGACTCATCTCGAGTTGTGGTTGGAGCTTTAGTTGTTGTTTCCTTTGTGCATTCACAAGTTTCAGGATTGAATTTACCATTAATTCTTTCACATTTTTCTTCCTTGATCTTTCTCATCTTGTCATCACATTCACCAGTTTCTTCTGTCGACTCATCTCGAGTTGTGGTTGGAGCTTTAGTTGTTGTTTCCTTTGTGCATTCACAAGTTTCAGGATTGAATTTACCATTAATTCTTTCACATTTTTCTTCCTTGATCTTTCTCATCTTGTCATCACATTCACCAGTTTCTTCTGTCGACTCATCTCGAGTTGTGGTTGGAGCTTTAGTTGTTGTTTCCTTTGTGCATTCACAAGTTTCAGGATTGAATTTACCATTAATTCTTTCACATTTTTCTTCCTTGATCTTTCTCATCTTGTCATCACATTCACCAGTTTCTTCTGTCGACTCATCTCGAGTTGTGGTTGGAGCTTTAGTTGTTGTTTCCTTTGTGCATTCACAAGTTTCAGGATTGAATTTACCATTAATTCTTTCACATTTTTCTTCCTTGATCTTTCTCATCTTGTCATCACATTCACCAGTTTCTTCTGTCGACTCATCTCGAGTTGTGGTTGGAGCTTTAGTTGTTGTTTCCTTTGTGCATTCACAAGTTTCAGGATTGAATTTACCATTAATTCTTTCACATTTTTCTTCCTTGATCTTTCTCATCTTGTCATCACATTCACCAGTTTCTTCTGTCGACTCATCTCGAGTTGTGGTTGGAGCTTTAGTTGTTGTTTCCTTTGTGCATTCACAAGTTTCAGGATTGAATTTACCATTAATTCTTTCACATTTTTCTTCCTTGATCTTTCTCATCTTGTCATCACATTCACCAGTTTCTTCTGTCGACTCATCTCGAGTTGTGGTTGGAGCTTTAGTTGTTGTTTCCTTTGTGCATTCACAAGTTTCAGGATTGAATTTACCATTAATTCTTTCACATTTTTCTTCCTTGATCTTTCTCATCTTGTCATCACATTCACCAGTTTCTTCTGTCGACTCATCTCGAGTTGTGGTTGGAGCTTTAGTTGTTGTTTCCTTTGTGCATTCACAAGTTTCAGGATTGAATTTACCATTAATTCTTTCACATTTTTCTTCCTTGATCTTTCTCATCTTGTCATCACATTCACCAGTTTCTTCTGTCGACTCATCTCGAGTTGTGGTTGGAGCTTTAGTTGTTGTTTCCTTTGTGCATTCACAAGTTTCAGGATTGAATTTACCATTAATTCTTTCACATTTTTCTTCCTTGATCTTTCTCATCTTGTCATCACATTCACCAGTTTCTTCTGTCGACTCATCTCGAGTTGTGGTTGGAGCTTTAGTTGTTGTTTCCTTTGTGCATTCACAAGTTTCAGGATTGAATTTACCATTAATTCTTTCACATTTTTCTTCCTTGATCTTTCTCATCTTGTCATCACATTCACCAGTTTCTTCTGTCGACTCATCTCGAGTTGTGGTTGGAGCTTTAGTTGTTGTTTCCTTTGTGCATTCACAAGTTTCAGGATTGAATTTACCATTAATTCTTTCACATTTTTCTTCCTTGATCTTTCTCATCTTGTCATCACATTCACCAGTTTCTTCTGTCGACTCATCTCGAGTTGTGGTTGGAGCTTTAGTTGTTGTTTCCTTTGTGCATTCACAAGTTTCAGGATTGAATTTACCATTAATTCTTTCACATTTTTCTTCCTTGATCTTTCTCATCTTGTCATCACATTCACCAGTTTCTTCTGTCGACTCATCTCGAGTTGTGGTTGGAGCTTTAGTTGTTGTTTCCTTTGTGCATTCACAAGTTTCAGGATTGAATTTACCATTAATTCTTTCACATTTTTCTTCCTTGATCTTTCTCATCTTGTCATCACATTCACCAGTTTCTTCTGTCGACTCATCTCGAGTTGTGGTTGGAGCTTTAGTTGTTGTTTCCTTTGTGCATTCACAAGTTTCAGGATTGAATTTACCATTAATTCTTTCACATTTTTCTTCCTTGATCTTTCTCATCTTGTCATCACATTCACCAGTTTCTTCTGTCGACTCATCTCGAGTTGTGGTTGGAGCTTTAGTTGTTGTTTCCTTTGTGCATTCACAAGTTTCAGGATTGAATTTACCATTAATTCTTTCACATTTTTCTTCCTTGATCTTTCTCATCTTGTCATCACATTCACCAGTTTCTTCTGTCGACTCATCTCGAGTTGTGGTTGGAGCTTTAGTTGTTGTTTCCTTTGTGCATTCACAAGTTTCAGGATTGAATTTACCATTAATTCTTTCACATTTTTCTTCCTTGATCTTTCTCATCTTGTCATCACATTCACCAGTTTCTTCTGTCGACTCATCTCGAGTTGTGGTTGGAGCTTTAGTTGTTGTTTCCTTTGTGCATTCACAAGTTTCAGGATTGAATTTACCATTAATTCTTTCACATTTTTCTTCCTTGATCTTTCTCATCTTGTCATCACATTCACCAGTTTCTTCTGTCGACTCATCTCGAGTTGTGGTTGGAGCTTTAGTTGTTGTTTCCTTTGTGCATTCACAAGTTTCAGGATTGAATTTACCATTAATTCTTTCACATTTTTCTTCCTTGATCTTTCTCATCTTGTCATCACATTCACCAGTTTCTTCTGTCGACTCATCTCGAGTTGTGGTTGGAGCTTTAGTTGTTGTTTCCTTTGTGCATTCACAAGTTTCAGGATTGAATTTACCATTAATTCTTTCACATTTTTCTTCCTTGATCTTTCTCATCTTGTCATCACATTCACCAGTTTCTTCTGTCGACTCATCTCGAGTTGTGGTTGGAGCTTTAGTTGTTGTTTCCTTTGTGCATTCACAAGTTTCAGGATTGAATTTACCATTAATTCTTTCACATTTTTCTTCCTTGATCTTTCTCATCTTGTCATCACATTCACCAGTTTCTTCTGTCGACTCATCTCGAGTTGTGGTTGGAGCTTTAGTTGTTGTTTCCTTTGTGCATTCACAAGTTTCAGGATTGAATTTACCATTAATTCTTTCACATTTTTCTTCCTTGATCTTTCTCATCTTGTCATCACATTCACCAGTTTCTTCTGTCGACTCATCTCGAGTTGTGGTTGGAGCTTTAGTTGTTGTTTCCTTTGTGCATTCACAAGTTTCAGGATTGAATTTACCATTAATTCTTTCACATTTTTCTTCCTTGATCTTTCTCATCTTGTCATCACATTCACCAGTTTCTTCTGTCGACTCATCTCGAGTTGTGGTTGGAGCTTTAGTTGTTGTTTCCTTTGTGCATTCACAAGTTTCAGGATTGAATTTACCATTAATTCTTTCACATTTTTCTTCCTTGATCTTTCTCATCTTGTCATCACATTCACCAGTTTCTTCTGTCGACTCATCTCGAGTTGTGGTTGGAGCTTTAGTTGTTGTTTCCTTTGTGCATTCACAAGTTTCAGGATTGAATTTACCATTAATTCTTTCACATTTTTCTTCCTTGATCTTTCTCATCTTGTCATCACATTCACCAGTTTCTTCTGTCGACTCATCTCGAGTTGTGGTTGGAGCTTTAGTTGTTGTTTCCTTTGTGCATTCACAAGTTTCAGGATTGAATTTACCATTAATTCTTTCACATTTTTCTTCCTTGATCTTTCTCATCTTGTCATCACATTCACCAGTTTCTTCTGTCGACTCATCTCGAGTTGTGGTTGGAGCTTTAGTTGTTGTTTCCTTTGTGCATTCACAAGTTTCAGGATTGAATTTACCATTAATTCTTTCACATTTTTCTTCCTTGATCTTTCTCATCTTGTCATCACATTCACCAGTTTCTTCTGTCGACTCATCTCGAGTTGTGGTTGGAGCTTTAGTTGTTGTTTCCTTTGTGCATTCACAAGTTTCAGGATTGAATTTACCATTAATTCTTTCACATTTTTCTTCCTTGATCTTTCTCATCTTGTCATCACATTCACCAGTTTCTTCTGTCGACTCATCTCGAGTTGTGGTTGGAGCTTTAGTTGTTGTTTCCTTTGTGCATTCACAAGTTTCAGGATTGAATTTACCATTAATTCTTTCACATTTTTCTTCCTTGATCTTTCTCATCTTGTCATCACATTCACCAGTTTCTTCTGTCGACTCATCTCGAGTTGTGGTTGGAGCTTTAGTTGTTGTTTCCTTTGTGCATTCACAAGTTTCAGGATTGAATTTACCATTAATTCTTTCACATTTTTCTTCCTTGATCTTTCTCATCTTGTCATCACATTCACCAGTTTCTTCTGTCGACTCATCTCGAGTTGTGGTTGGAGCTTTAGTTGTTGTTTCCTTTGTGCATTCACAAGTTTCAGGATTGAATTTACCATTAATTCTTTCACATTTTTCTTCCTTGATCTTTCTCATCTTGTCATCACATTCACCAGTTTCTTCTGTCGACTCATCTCGAGTTGTGGTTGGAGCTTTAGTTGTTGTTTCCTTTGTGCATTCACAAGTTTCAGGATTGAATTTACCATTAATTCTTTCACATTTTTCTTCCTTGATCTTTCTCATCTTGTCATCACATTCACCAGTTTCTTCTGTCGACTCATCTCGAGTTGTGGTTGGAGCTTTAGTTGTTGTTTCCTTTGTGCATTCACAAGTTTCAGGATTGAATTTACCATTAATTCTTTCACATTTTTCTTCCTTGATCTTTCTCATCTTGTCATCACATTCACCAGTTTCTTCTGTCGACTCATCTCGAGTTGTGGTTGGAGCTTTAGTTGTTGTTTCCTTTGTGCATTCACAAGTTTCAGGATTGAATTTACCATTAATTCTTTCACATTTTTCTTCCTTGATCTTTCTCATCTTGTCATCACATTCACCAGTTTCTTCTGTCGACTCATCTCGAGTTGTGGTTGGAGCTTTAGTTGTTGTTTCCTTTGTGCATTCACAAGTTTCAGGATTGAATTTACCATTAATTCTTTCACATTTTTCTTCCTTGATCTTTCTCATCTTGTCATCACATTCACCAGTTTCTTCTGTCGACTCATCTCGAGTTGTGGTTGGAGCTTTAGTTGTTGTTTCCTTTGTGCATTCACAAGTTTCAGGATTGAATTTACCATTAATTCTTTCACATTTTTCTTCCTTGATCTTTCTCATCCTGTCATCACATTCACCAGTTTCTTCTGTCGACTCATCTCGAGTTGTAGTTGGAGCTTTAGTTGTTGTTTCCTTTGTGCATTCACAAGTTTCAGGATTGAATTTACCATTAATTCTTTCACATTTTTCTTTCTTGATCTTTCTCATCTTGTCATCACATTCACCAGTTTCTTCTGTCGACTCATCTCGAGTTGTGGTTGGAGCTTTAGTTGTTGTTTCCTTTGTGCATTCACAAGTTTCAGGATTGAATTTACCATTAATTCTTTCACATTTTTCTTCCTTGATCTTTCTCATCTTGCCATCACATTCACCAGTTTCTTCTGTCGACTCATCTCGAGTTGTGGTTGGAGCTTTAGTTGTTGTTTCCTTTGTGCATTCACAAGTTTCAGGATTGAATTTACCGTTAATTCTTTCACATTTTTCTTCTTTGATCTTTCTCATCTTGTCATCACATTCACCAGTTTCTTCTGTCGACTCATCTCGAGTTGTGGTTGGAGCTTTAGTTGTTGTTTCTTTTGTGCATTCACAAGTTTCAGGATTGAATTTACCATTAATTCTTTCACATTTTTCTTCCTTGATCTTTCTCATCTTGTCATCACATTCACCAGTTTCTTCTGTCGACTCATCTCGAGTTGTGGTTGGAACTTTAGTTGTTGTTTCCTTTGTGCATTCACAAGTTTCAGGATTGAATTTACCATTAATTCTTTCACATTTTTCTTCCTTGATCTTTCTCATCTTGTCATCACATTCACCAGTTTCTTCTGTCGACTCATCTCGAGTTGTGGTTGGAACTTTAGTTGTTGTTTCCTTTGTGCATTCACAAGTTTCAGGATTGAATTTACCATTAATTCTTTCACATTTTTCTTCCTTGATCTTTCTCATCTTGTCATCACATTCACCAGTTTCTTCTGTCGACTCATCTCGAGTTGTGGTTGGAGCTTTAGTTGTTGTTTCCTTTGTGCATTCACAAGTTTCAGGATTGAATTTACCATTAATTCTTTCACATTTTTCTTCCTTGATCTTTCTCATCTTGTCATCACATTCACCAGTTTCTTCTGTCGACTCATCTCGAGTTGTAGTTGGAGCTTTAGTTGTTGTTTCTTTTGTGCATTCACAAGTTTCAGGATTGAATTTACCATTAATTCTTTCACATTTTTCTTCCTTGATCTTTCTCATCCTGTCATCACATTCACCAGTTTCTTCTGTCGACTCATCTCGAGTTGTAGTTGGAGCTTTAGTTGTTGTTTCCTTTGTGCATTCACAAGTTTCAGGATTGAATTTACCATTAATTCTTTCACATTTTTCTTCCTTGATCTTTCTCATCTTGTCATCACATTCACCAGTTTCTTCTGTCGACTCATCTCGAGTTGTGGTTGGAGCTTTAGTTGTTGTTTCCTTTGTGCATTCACAAGTTTCAGGATTGAATTTACCATTAATTCTTTCACATTTTTCTTCCTTGATCTTTCTCATCTTGCCATCACATTCACCAGTTTCTTCTGTCGACTCATCTCGAGTTGTGGTTGGAGCTTTAGTTGTTGTTTCCTTTGTGCATTCACAAGTTTCAGGATTGAATTTACCATTAATTCTTTCACATTTTTCTTCCTTGATCTTTCTCATCTTGTCATCACATTCACCAGTTTCATCTGTCGACTCATCTCGAGTTGTGGTTGGAGCTTTAGTTGTTGTTTCCTTTGTACATTCACAAGTTTCAGGATTGAATTTACCATTAATTCTTTCACATTTTTCTTCCTTGATCTTTCTCATCTTGTCATCACATTCACCAGTTTCTTCTGTCGACTCATCTCGAGTTGTGGTTGGAGCTTTAGTTGTTGTTTCCTTTGTGCATTCACAAGTTTCAGGATTGAATTTACCATTAATTCTTTCACATTTTTCTTCCTTGATCTTTCTCATCTTGTCATCACATTCACCAGTTTCTTCTGTCGACTCATCTCGAGTTGTGGTTGGAGCTTTAGTTGTTGTTTCCTTTGTGCATTCACAAGTTTCAGGATTGAATTTACCATTAATTCTTTCACATTTTTCTTCCTTGATCTTTCTCATCTTGTCATCACATTCACCAGTTTCTTCTGTCGACTCATCTCGAGTTGTAGTTGGAGCTTTAGTTGTTGTTTCCTTTGTGCATTCACAAGTTTCAGGATTGAATTTACCATTAATTCTTTCACATTTTTCTTCCTTGATCTTTCTCATCTTGACATCACATTCACCAGTTTCTTCTGTCGACTCATCTCGAGTTGTGGTTGGAGCTTTAGTTGTTGTTTCCTTTGTGCATTCACAAGTTTCAGGATTGAATTTACCATTAATTCTTTCACATTTCTCTTCCTTGATCTTTCTCATCTTGTCATCACATTCACCAGTTTCTTCTGTCGACTCATCTCGAGTTGTAGTTGGAGCTTTAGTTGTTGTTTCCTTTGTGCATTCACAAGTTTCAGGATTGAATTTACCATTAATTCTTTCACATTTTTCTTCCTTGATCTTTCTCATCTTGTCATCACATTCACCAGTTTCTTCTGTCGACTCATCTCGAGTTGTGGTTGGAGCTTTAGTTGTTGTTTCCTTTGTGCATTCACAAGTTTCAGGATTGAATTTACCATTAATTCTTTCACATTTTTCTTCCTTGATCTTTCTCATCTTGTCATCACATTCACCAGTTTCTTCTGTCGACTCATCTCGAGTTGTGGTTGGAGCTTTAGTTGTTGTTTCCTTTGTGCATTCACAAGTTTCAGGATTGAATTTACCATTAATTCTTTCACATTTTTCTTCCTTGATCTTTCTCATCTTGTCATCACATTCACCAGTTTCTTCTGTCGACTCATCTCGAGTTGTGGTTGGAGCTTTAGTTGTTGTTTCCTTTGTGCACTCACAAGTTTCAGGATTGAATTTACCATTAATTCTTTCACATTTTTCTTCCTTGGTCTTTCTCATCTTGTCATCACATTCACCAGTTTCTTCTGTCGACTCATCTCGAGTTGTGGTTGGAGCTTTAGTTGTTGTTTCCTTTGTGCATTCACAAGTTTCAGGATTGAATTTACCATTAATTCTTTCACATTTTTCTTCCTTGATCTTTCTCATCTTGTCATCACATTCACCAGTTTCTTCTGTCGACTCATCTCGAGTTGTGGTTGGAGCTTTAGTTGTTGTTTCCTTTGTGCATTCACAAGTTTCAGGATTGAATTTACCATTAATTCTTTCACATTTCTCTTCCTTGATCTTTCTCATCTTGTCATCACATTCACCAGTTTCTTCTGTCGACTCATCTCGAGTTGTGGTTGGAGCTTTAGTTGTTGTTTCCTTTGTGCATTCACAAGTTTCAGGATTGAATTTACCGTTAATTCTTTCACATTTTTCTTCGTTGATCTTTCTCATCTTGTCATCACATTCACCAGTTTCTTCTGTCGACTCATCTCGAGTTGTGGTTGGAGCTTTAGTTGTTGTTTCCTTTGTGCATTCACAAGTTTCAGGATTGAATTTACCATTAATTCTTTCACATTTTTCTTCCTTGATCTTTCTCATCTTGTCATCACATTCACCAGTTTCTTCTGTCGACTCATCTCGAGTTGTGGTTGGAGCTTTAGTTGTTGTTTCCTTTGTGCACTCACAAGTTTCAGGATTGAATTTACCATTAATTCTTTCACATTTTTCTTCCTTGATCTTTCTCATCTTGTCATCACATTCACCAGTTTCTTCTGTCGACTCATCTCGAGTTGTGGTTGGAGCTTTAGTTGTTGTTTCCTTTGTGCATTCACAAGTTTCAGGATTGAATTTACCATTAATTCTTTCACATTTTTCTTCTTTGATCTTTCTCATCTTGTCATCACATTCACCAGTTTCTTCTGTCGACTCATCCCGAGTTGTGGTTGGAGCTTTAGTTGTTGTTTCCTTTGTGCATTCACAAGTTTCAGGATTGAATTTACCATTAATTCTTTCACATTTTTCTTCCTTGATCTTTCTCATCTTGTCATCACATTCACCAGTTTCTTCTGTCGACTCATCTCGAGTTGTGGTTGGAGCTTTAGTTGTTGTTTCCTTTGTGCATTCACAAGTTTCAGGATTGAATTTACCATTAATTCTTTCACATTTTTCTTCCTTGATCTTTCTCATCTTGCCATCACATTCACCAGTTTCTTCTGTCGACTCATCTCGAGTTGTGGTTGGAGCTTTAGTTGTTGTTTCTTTTGTGCATTCACAAGTTTCAGGATTGAATTTACCATTAATTCTTTCACATTTTTCTTCTTTGATCTTTCTCATCTTGTCATCACATTCACCAGTTTCTTCTGTCGACTCATCTCGAGTTGTGGTTGGAGCTTTAGTTGTTGTTTCCTTTGTGCATTCACAAGTTTCAGGATTGAATTTACCATTAATTCTTTCACATTTTTCTTCCTTGATCTTTCTCATCTTGCCATCACATTCACCAGTTTCTTCTGTTGACTCATCACGAGTTGTGGTTGGAGCTTTAGTTGTTGTTTCCTTTGTGCATTCACAAGTTTCAGGATTGAATTTACCATTAATTCTTTCACATTTTTCTTCCTTGATCTTTCTCATCTTGTCATCACATTCACCAGTTTCTTCTGTCGACTCATCTTGAGTTGTGGTTGGAGCTTTAGTTGTTGTTTCCTTTGTGCATTCACAAGTTTCATGATTGAATTTACCATTAATTCTTTCACATTTTTCTTCCTTGATCTTTCTCATCTTGCCATCACATTCACCAGTTTCTTCTGTCGACTCATCTCGAGTTGTGGTTGGAGCTTTGGTTGTTGTTTCCTTTGTGCATTCACAAGTTTCAGGATTGAATTTACCATTAATTCTTTCACATTTTTCTTCCTTGATCTTTCTCATCTTGCCATCACATTCACCAGTTTCTTCTGTCGACTCATCTCGAGTTGTGGTTGGAGCTTTAGTTGTTGTTTCCTTTGTGCATTCACAAGTTTCAGCATTGAATGTACCATTAATTCTTTCACATTTTTCTTCCTTGATCTTTCTCATCTTGCCATCACATTCACCAGTTTCTTCTGTTGACTCATCTCGAGTTGTGGTTGGAGCTTTAGTTGTTGTTTCCTTTGTGCATTCACAAGTTTCAGGATTGAATTTACCATTAATTCTTTCACATTTCTCTTCCTTGATCTTTCTCATCTTGTCATCACATTCACCAGTTTCTTCTGTCGACTCATCTCGAGTTGTGGTTGGAGCTTTAGTTGTTGTTTCCTTTGTGCATTCACAAGTTTCAGGATTGAATTTACCATTAATTCTTTCACATTTTTCTTCCTTGATCTTTCTCATCTTGTCATCACATTCACCAGTTTCTTTTGTCGACTCATCTCGAGTTGTGGTTGGAGCTTTAGTTGTTGTTTCCTTTGTGCATTCACAAGTTTCAGGATTGAATTTACCATTAATTCTTTCACATTTTTCTTCTTTGATCTTTCTCATCTTGTCATCACATTCACCAGTTTCTTCTGTCGACTCATCCCGAGTTGTGGTTGGAGCTTTAGTTGTTGTTTCCTTTGTGCATTCACAAGTTTCAGGATTGAATTTACCATTAATTCTTTCACATTTTTCTTCTTTGATCTTTCTCATCTTGTCATCACATTCACCAGTTTCTTCTGTCGACTCATCTCGAGTTGTGGTTGGAGCTTTAGTTGTTGTTTCCTTTGTGCATTCACAAGTTTCAGGATTGAATTTACCATTAATTCTTTCACATTTTTCTTCCTTGATCTTTCTCATCTTGCCATCACATTCACCAGTTTCTTCTGTCGACTCATCTCGAGTTGTGGTTGGAGCTTTGGTTGTTGTTTCCTTTGTGCACTCACAAGTTTCAGGATTGAATTTACCATTAATTCTTTCACATTTTTCTTCCTTGATCTTTCTCATCTTGCCATCACATTCACCAGTTTCTTCTGTCGACTCATCTCGAGTTGTGGTTGGAGCTTTAGTTGTTGTTTCCTTTGTGCATTCACAAGTTTCAGGATTGAATTTACCATTAATTCTTTCACATTTTTCTTCCTTGATCTTTCTCATCTTGCCATCACATTCACCAGTTTCTTCTGTCGACTCATCTCGAGTTGTGGTTGGAGCTTTAGTTGTTGTTTCCTTTGTGCATTCACAAGTTTCAGGATTGAATTTACCATTAATTCTTTCACATTTTTCTTCCTTGATCTTTCTCATCTTGCCATCACATTCACCAGTTTCTTCTGTCGACTCATCTCGAGTTGTGGTTGGAGCTTTGGTTGTTGTTTCCTTTGTGCATTCACAAGTTTCAGGATTGAATTTACCATTAATTCTTTCACATTTTTCTTCCTTGATCTTTCTCATCTTGCCATCACATTCACCAGTTTCTTCTGTCGACTCATCTCGAGTTGTGGTTGGAGCTTTAGTTGTTGTTTCCTTTGTGCATTCACAAGTTTCAGGATTGAATTTACCATTAATTCTTTCACATTTTTCTTCCTTGATCTTTCTCATCTTGCCATCACATTCACCAGTTTCTTCTGTCGACTCATCTCGAGTTGTGGTTGGAGCTTTAGTTGTTGTTTCCTTTGTGCATTCACAAGTTTCAGGATTGAATTTACCATTAATTCTTTCACATTTTTCTTCCTTGATCTTTCTCATCTTGCCATCACATTCACCAGTTTCTTCTGTCGACTCATCTCGAGTTGTGGTTGGAGCTTTAGTTGTTGTTTCCTTTGTGCATTCACAAGTTTCAGGATTGAATTTACCATTAATTCTTTCACATTTTTCTTCCTTGATCTTTCTCATCTTGCCATCACATTCACCAGTTTCTTCTGTCGACTCATCTCGAGTTGTGGTTGGAGCTTTGGTTGTTGTTTCCTTTGTGCATTCACAAGTTTCAGGATTGAATTTACCATTAATTCTTTCACATTTTTCTTCCTTGATCTTTCTCATCTTGCCATCACATTCACCAGTTTCTTCTGTCGACTCATCTCGAGTTGTGGTTGGAGCTTTGGTTGTTGTTTCCTTTGTGCATTCACAAGTTTCAGGATTGAATTTACCATTAATTCTTTCACATTTTTCTTCCTTGATCTTTCTCATCTTGCCATCACATTCACCAGTTTCTTCTGTCGACTCATCTCGAGTTGTGGTTGGAGCTTTAGTTGTTGTTTCCTTTGTGCATTCACAAGTTTCAGGATTGAATTTACCATTAATTCTTTCACATTTTTCTTCCTTGATCTTTCTCATCTTGCCATCACATTCACCAGTTTCTTCTGTCGACTCATCTCGAGTTGTGGTTGGAGCTTTGGTTGTTGTTTCCTTTGTGCATTCACAAGTTTCAGGATTGAATTTACCATTAATTCTTTCACATTTTTCTTCTTTGATCTTTCTCATCTTGTCATCACATTCACCAGTTTCTTCTGTCGACTCATCTCGAGTTGTGGTTGGAGCTTTAGTTGTTGTTTCCTTTGTGCATTCACAAGTTTCAGGATTGAATTTACCATTAATTCTTTCACATTTTTCTTCCTTGATCTTTCTCATCTTGCCATCACATTCACCAGTTTCTTCTGTCGACTCATCTCGAGTTGTGGTTGGAGCTTTAGTTGTTGTTTCCTTTGTGCATTCACAAGTTTCAGGATTGAATTTACCATTAATTCTTTCACATTTTGCTTCCTTGATCTTTCTCATCTTGCCATCACATTCACCAGTTTCTTCTGTCGACTCATCTCGAGTTGTGGTTGGAGCTTTAGTTGTTGTTTCCTTTGTGCATTCACAAGTTTCAGGATTGAATTTACCATTAATTCTTTCACATTTTTCTTCCTTGATCTTTCTCATCTTGCCATCACATTCACCAGTTTCTTCTGTCGACTCATCTCGAGTTGTGGTTGGAGCTTTAGTTGTTGTTTCCTTTGTGCATTCACAAGTTTCAGGATTGAATTTACCATTAATTCTTTCACATTTTTCTTCTTTGATCTTTCTCATCTTGTCATCACATTCACCAGTTTCTTCTGTTGACTCATCTCGAGTTGTGGTTGGAGCTTTAGTTGTTGTTTCCTTTGTGCATTCACAAGTTCCAGGATTGAATTTACCATTAATTCTTTCACATTTTTCTTCCTTGATCTTTCTCATCTTGCCATCACATTCACCAGTTTCTTCTGTCGACTCATCTCGAGTTGTGGTTGGAGCTTTAGTTGTTGTTTCCTTTGTGCATTCACAAGTTTCAGGATTGAATTTACCATTAATTCTTTCACATTTTTCTTCCTTGATCTTTCTCATCTTGTCATCACATTCACCAGTTTCTTCTGTCGACTCATCTCGGGTTGGAGCTTTAGTTGTTGTTTCCTTTGTGCATTCACAAGTTTCAGGATTGAATGTACCATTAATTCTTTCACATTTTTCTTCCTTGATCTTTCTCATCTTGCCATCACATTCACCAGTTTCTTCTGTTGACTCATCTCGAGTTGTGGTTGGAGCTTTAGTTGTTGTTTCCTTTGTGCATTCACAAGTTTCAGGATTGAATTTACCATTAATTCTTTCACATTTCTCTTCCTTGATCTTTCTCATCTTGTCATCACATTCACCAGTTTCTTCTGTCGACTCATCTCGAGTTGTGGTTGGAGCTTTAGTTGTTGTTTCCTTTGTGCATTCACAAGTTTCAGGATTGAATTTACCATTAATTCTTTCACATTTTTCTTCCTTGATCTTTCTCATCTTGTCATCACATTCACCAGTTTCTTCTGTCGACTCATCTCGAGTTGTGGTTGGAGCTTTAGTTGTTGTTTCCTTTGTGCATTCACAAGTTTCAGGATTGAATTTACCATTAATTCTTTCACATTTTTCTTCTTTGATCTTTCTCATCTTGTCATCACATTCACCAGTTTCTTCTGTCGACTCATCTCGAGTTGTGGTTGGAGCTTTAGTTGTTGTTTCCTTTGTGCATTCACAAGTTTCAGGATTGAATTTACCATTAATTCTTTCACATTTTTCTTCCTTGATCTTTCTCATCTTGTCATCACATTCACCAGTTTCATCTGTCGACTCATCTCGAGTTGTGGTTGGAGCTTTGGTTGTTGTTTCCTTTGTGCACTCACAAGTTTCAGGATTGAATTTACCATTAATTCTTTCACATTTTTCTTCCTTGATCTTTCTCATCTTGCCATCACATTCACCAGTTTCTTCTGTCGACTCATCTCGAGTTGTGGTTGGAGCTTTAGTTGTTGTTTCCTTTGTGCATTCACAAGTTTCAGGATTGAATTTACCATTAATTCTTTCACATTTTTCTTCCTTGATCTTTCTCATCTTGCCATCACATTCACCAGTTTCTTCTGTCGACTCATCTCGAGTTGTGGTTGGAGCTTTAGTTGTTGTTTCCTTTGTGCATTCACAAGTTTCAGGATTGAATTTACCATTAATTCTTTCACATTTTTCTTCCTTGATCTTTCTCATCTTGCCATCACATTCACCAGTTTCTTCTGTCGACTCATCTCGAGTTGTGGTTGGAGCTTTGGTTGTTGTTTCCTTTGTGCATTCACAAGTTTCAGGATTGAATTTACCATTAATTCTTTCACATTTTTCTTCCTTGATCTTTCTCATCTTGCCATCACATTCACCAGTTTCTTCTGTCGACTCATCTCGAGTTGTGGTTGGAGCTTTAGTTGTTGTTTCCTTTGTGCATTCACAAGTTTCAGGATTGAATTTACCATTAATTCTTTCACATTTTTCTTCCTTGATCTTTCTCATCTTGCCATCACATTCACCAGTTTCTTCCGTCGACTCATCTCGAGTTGTGGTTGGAGCTTTAGTTGTTGTTTCCTTTGTGCATTCACAAGTTTCAGGATTGAATTTACCATTAATTCTTTCACATTTTTCTTCTTTGATCTTTCTCATCTTGTCATCACATTCACCAGTTTCTTCTGTCGACTCATCTCGAGTTGTGGTTGGAGCTTTAGTTGTTGTTTCCTTTGTGCATTCACAAGTTTCAGGATTGAATGTACCATTAATTCTTTCACATTTTTCTTCCTTGATCTTTCTCATCTTGTCATCACATTCACCAGTTTCTTCTGTCGACTCATCTCGAGTTGTGGTTGGAGCTTTAGTTGTTGTTTCCTTTGTGCATTCACAAGTTTCAGGATTGAATTTACCATTAATTCTTTCACATTTTGCTTCCTTGATCTTTCTCATCTTGCCATCACATTCACCAGTTTCTTCTGTCGACTCATCTCGAGTTGTGGTTGGAGCTTTAGTTGTTGTTTCCTTTGTGCATTCACAAGTTTCAGGATTGAATTTACCATTAATTCTTTCACATTTTTCTTCCTTGATCTTTCTCATCTTGCCATCACATTTACCAGTTTCTTCCGTCGACTCATCTCGAGTTGTGGTTGGAGCTTTAGTTGTTGTTTCCTTTGTGCATTCACAAGTTTCAGGATTGAATTTACCATTAATTCTTTCACATTTTTCTTCCTTGATCTTTCTCATTTGGCCCTTACAAATGCCATCTTCTGAAGTTTCATTACTTTCTTCAGATTCCAAACATGTTGTTTGATCTGTTGATTGTGTTGTTGTTTCTTCACTTTCACTAGATTCAAGGCATGTTGTTTGATAATCTATTTCATTTTCGGAACTTTCTGGTTTTTCAGGTCTTGTTGCTGAGTTGCTTGGTTTTGAAATGCATTTACATTTACTAGCAATGAATCTACCTTTTAGTTTAGCACATCTTTCAGTTTCAGCTCTTCTCATTGTACTTTCACATTTTTCTGGTCTTTGTGAAGATTTTCTTGATTTTGATGTAGAATCGCTTCTTTTAGATTTCCTTGAAACAGACTTTGAGCTTGATTTTGAATTTGTTTTTGATTTCTTAATTGGTTTTTCATTTGATTTATCTTTATTTTCGTTTTCGTCTGATAAATTTTTCTTTTCGTCTGATTTTACTGGTTTTGTTTCATCTTCTTCTTTCGTGTCTTGATTTGGTATTGAAGGTTTAGAGCACTTGCAAGTTTCTTCATCAAATTTTCCTTTTGCTTTTGCACAGTCATTAGCTTCTTTAGCTCGCATTTTACCTTCGCATTTTAATGCTGGTGTTTTTTCCTCACTTGAATGTGGTTTATTTTCTTCAGAATCTGAGCCTTTTCCTTCTTCTGATTCATCATTATCATCATTTGACTTTTCTTTGTTTTTCTTTTTCTTCTTTATGATTTCATCCGATTTGCTTTCGTTTTCCTCTGAAGTTGCTGTATTTTCATCAGATTCTTCTTCTGTTGTATCTTCCTCTACATATTCTAGACTTTTCTCCTCTTTACCTTTCTTTCCTTTTGGAGCTATACTGGATGCAGTCTAAAATTAAGAATACCGTGATTAAATTTTATTTTTTTTAAATTAAAACAAGTTTCAATTGTCAGGTTAAATGAGATTCTTTGGTCATCTACATTATAAAAGTCCAATTCACTGATTCACTGACTCTAGAACGGAAGCAATGTGAAGACATTTGTGAAGACGTATGAGGCCAAAAATTTTAGGAGTTTTGACAAGTTGGTTTAGGTTGGGGTGGGTGTCAGGTGGGGGATGGGGACAAGGTGGGTGTCAGGTGGGGGATGGGGACAAGGTGGGTGTCAGGTATATTTTGTGAAGCCATATATAATTTTGTGAAGCCATGTGAAGTTTTGTGAAGCCATGCGAAGCTTTTTGAAAAGACATGGTAGGTTTCGGGGGGATTAAAGTGTTAATGGGATTAATGGGGTCCGAGTTTAGGGGGATTTGTGAAGCCATGTGAAGTTCTGTGGTAGGATTGACCTTAAAAACATTATGGTTATTTGCGTCTTAAAGTTCTTTACATAATAGTAATCAAATTTTAACCCTGATAAGTGGCACCACGGGCGCCTCCGGATAGCCTAGTTAATCATGATACGTGTCGCTTATTTTTTTTGACAGAATTTTACTATCGTAATCACATCAACATAAAGTGCTAAGAAGTCAAAAATAATATGAAGTACCGACTCTGAGAGTACGAGGCCAGCGTGTCAAGCATCTTGATGAGGACTATTTGAATGTTGAGGATATAAATTAGCAGCGTTATCAAGACATTATTGGCTTTATTAAGGACATAGGAATTCTATCATAGGGAACTTTGGATGATACAACAGAGCATCTTTTACTTTTAGCAAAACCTTTCATTACATTATATTCAATTCTTTCTGAGAGTCCAGTTGAAGTCTTTAGTAGTCTTATCAACTCTGGAAAAAACTTATCCGCTTATTCATCAAATGTCTTGTAAAAGTTAAATTTAAAAGAATAAAGCCACAGAGGAACTTCAAAAGATTGTTCTGTTCAACACGAGCTTGAAGCTTCTGAATATAATTTAAATAATTAAATTAAAATTAATATTGGCTACATTTGACTCCATATTCACTAAATCTTATTATTTAAAAATAAATTGTTTTTTTTTCATAAGTTTCTAATTTAGCGATCAAAAATCTAATTCTCAGATAATCAATTTAAAAACTTATTAGAAGCGTCTGATTCTTAAAAAGACTTACCTCGTCCTCATATTCATACTCGTACTCGTATGCGTAATCGTCATCGCTAAATTAAAGAAAAATGAAATAAAAAATTCATTTGAATTTGTTTAAATTAAAAACTGTGATAATTTTATATTAATATTGAAACCAGACGACTGTTTAAATAAGGAATTAAAATTTCAGTAATTTAACACAATGAAGCTTGGAAATTTTATCGAAAAAAAATACAACGCCCCTTAAAGATATGCAATTGAAATCGAATCGATAAATTTGCATACGTGTAAAATTATGAAATTTTTTTCTGTTAAATGAGAGAATTAAAGTTGGATAATAATTTATATAAAATATATTTTTAATTGAAATTAATTTCTTTTTTAAAGAAATTATCATTTTTGATTTTTAAATATTTTGACTCACCCATAATACTGATCGTAACTGAAATAAATGGAAAAGGAAAAAATTCATCAAATATAAGAAAATCAATTTTAGATAACTTTTAAATTGCTCCTCAAATTGCTAGAAAAATTTCATGCAATATTTGAGAAAAATTATGAAATAATAATATATACGTAATGCTGCTCATTTTTTTAAATTTAATTTAAAATCGGTTACTCAATCTGTTGCTATTCATTAATTTTTATTATTATTTTTCAAATACTAAACCTTTTTCTAAAGTTAATCAAAATTTATTTAAAATTCCTTTTTTTAATATTTTTTTGGTACTTACTAGTCATCGTCGTAATATTCATCGTAGTACTCATAGTCACCATCTACAGGACCCTCAGGACCTTCTGGTCTTTCAGGCCTTTCTGGTGGTGTTGCTGTAGTTTCCATGGCTGCGATTTTCTTCTTTGGAGGTGGTGGGAACATATCAGGATGCTCCTTTTTAACTTTATCCATAATTTCTTCAGAGCAAACGAGTTCGTGTTCAGATTGCTCTTCACATGATGACTCGGAATGATCACCGAAGGCAGTTACTGCTCCAATAAGGAACAGTAAAATTAAAAATGATTTCACCATTTTCTTTTTACTTCTTTTTTCACTTAATTCACACTTCTTTACTATTTCTAGGAGAAGTCTGGAAATGAATTCCAAAAACTGACTTTACTAGGCTCCGAGGTCCTCCTTTTATACCAATAAAATGAGAGAGTTAGTCATACTGTCTCTTTCATCCAGAATATTATGGATTAAATTTTTATAATATTTTAATAAATCAACCTTATTAATAATAATGAATTTTTAAATTGAGATAACTTTACTGTAGCAAAAGTGAGAAAAGAAAGAGAACGAAAATGGTTTCGATAGTTTATGAGAGACTAGGTTTTGTCACATTCGTGCACCAAGACTCAATCGATACAGTTTATTATTATTTCTTTACCTATTTTAAATTAAACTCTTGTTTTAATGTAAGTTATTATTCATATATTTAAAAAAAAAAACAATAATTGTATAAAAAATAAATTTATTATATTAAAAAACATTTAATAATTATTTATTTAAAATCATCTATCTTAGGACAATTTTAAAAGAAATCCAAAGTTATTTAAAATCCTCCTTAGATATTTAACAAGGATTTGGAGCGTTTTAAGAACCTTAAAGATTGTGATATTGCTTAAAAGATATAATTTTTAAGTCGAAAGTATTTTCTAAGGTTAAAAGAGTAAAAAAAAAATCAGAATTTCATAAATTAAGGAAGTTCCTTGTACATTCAAGATTATTACGTAAATAAAAGAAAAATTGATTAAAAACGTTATAAATATGGTTTTCAATCCCGGGATTGAAATGTATGTAATCCCGGGGTCAAACCCGGGATTCAGGACATTTTAACCCCTATTGAAAGGGATTGAAAACCCTAGTAATAAAATTGACAATTTTGGTTAAAAATTTGATAAATTTAGATCAAAAACATAAAACATGTTAAAAAGTTCTGTAAAATTATAGTTGAAAATCTTAAGAGTTAAGCAAGAAGATTATTTTTATTATTATTATTATTATTGTTATTATTATTATTATATTTATTAAAACTTTCAATAGCCAGAGCTTAGATAAATTAGAATTTGATCGATTTTGATCATTTTTGATCATTTTAAAATATTTCATCAAATTGCGGACTTAACAATAAGAATTCAAACAGCTGGTTGTGAAATTTTAATTGTCAAGTGCATTTTTGAGCAGAAGAACAAAGAAAAATTATTAAGAGATAAATGGTGGAATAAAATGTTTGGACAAGTGTGTCTGATAAGAAAATGAAGCTTAAATTTTAATTTTAAGTATTAAACGAGAAAATTTTTAAATTTATTAATTTTATAACTTTCGAGAAAATTCTATTTTCTCTCGAAAGAAAGTTCTGGGATCATCCCACAAACTGTAATTCGTATGTTTCATAGTTTATTTTGCAATAAATCAAACCTGTCTGCCTGTTTCAAGGCATGAACACCGGATGAATAATACTTTTGGTTTTGCCTTGGCTTCTTTTACAGCTTTAATTCAAAAACTAGCATTTAAATCTATTTGAACATTATTATTTAATTAACTTTCTAGGTAAACTGTTTATTATTTGAATTTTGATAGGCAAAATGAGTTTAAAAATTTCATTAAACGGCATCTGATCAAATAGTTAATTCGGAATACATCTTAAGTTAAATTTACACTAAGACAATAAAAACATTAATAAATGTCATCTTTATCACATGTTTTTTTATCTTATTATTTATGTTTAATATCATTAAATTTTATTTGTAGATCATTTAAATTTTCAATTCAGACTCTTTAGTTGGTTTTCTCATCAGAAGGAAATCATTTACACGTATAATGAGTTTTTGTCCATTAACTATGACTTTCAATTAATGGTTTCTAGTATTATTTTTGTGATTAATAACTCGGCTTCAATATATTAAATTTCAACGAAAAAAAACCTTTACCTGTTCAGATCAATTGTGATCCAGAGGTGTGCTAATGAGAGTTTAACGAGTGAGGATGCGCCAAATCACTGCACTCAAACTTGGACCTACAATTTATAGTGGGATCCGGACCACTTCTTTGCTGACATTTCTGCTTGTAGCCTCCAAAGGCTGTGAGCCTCATTTCCAGTACATATGATTCGAAAAAGGACAATTGAAAAATTTCCCATACCCAGTCTCGAACTCATGATCGCTGTGTCGGTATTGCAATAATTAAGTACCGAAGTACTAAACCATTCCGCCACCAAGCAACTTCAGCTCACAAACTCAAATTTCAACAACTTTTAATAAATACGTAAGCAGTAAAAATTTCACGGATTAAAAAGAGAATTTCAGTATCCAACAGCCAAATTCCATGCTGATATCACGCAACCTTTGTGTCATTCGACAGTTTCATGGGTCTTTTTGTAGCAAACATATTTTTATTTTATTTTTAAGTTTCACATTATTTTATTAATTATTCACATTTTTTAAGCATCTTATTCCTATCAGTTGACAGTTAAGTGATCAAAACGTGTTTTATTTTAATGACGTTATCTTCCATTTGTTCAAATACTCATTATTGAACACTTTGGGTTTTTCACTTGTTTTTAACTCATTTAAATTATTATTATTAATTCAGTAAAATGTTTTAAAAAAATATTTTCAATATTTTAAATAGAAAAAAAAACTGAATAAGAAATTTTAATATTTGAAGACATTTGAAACTTTTTGTTGTCTTGCTGTTAACATGGCGATGAATCAGTGTCCTATACAAAGACTATCCATCGGTATTTGCCGATTTTTGGTTAAAAAGTAGGATTTGTCCTGATTTCAGCTCTGAAAAGGGAGGAAAAGACAATATTTTCAAGCAATTTTCAAGAACAATAGGTTCAAAAAAGAACATTCAAGATTTTGAGCGGGACTTTGTTCAAAAAAACGAAACTGTCCCTTACAAAAGTGTGCATTTAGACAGCTTAGCTCTACATTCTTAACATAAACTTTTAAATTTAAATGAAATCTAAATTCGTTGATTATATTCAGTGCCTGGTTCCCAAGGCTCAGATTTTAGGAATTGAATTTAATTTCTGTCTTAGGATGCCTTGGGTAGACTTAGAAACCGGGTCTTCTTGGTCTATACTCTGTAAAAAAGGCTAAATAAGCAATTCATATGTTTTATCAAAAACACAGTTTAAATATAATATCGACAAAATCAAAATTAATCATTATTAGCTTTATGATTCTAAAACAATGAGAAAGTGTTATTCATAGCAATAATATGACTGCATATGGATATTAAATAACAAACTTGAAAAAACGACTTTATAAAAGTTTTTTTCTAAAATAAGCTCATTTGAAAAACTTTTTTCTTTAATCAAAATTGAGTTTACAGTTATATTAATTTAAACACAATTGGTTCAGATCAACATGTTGAGTCTTAGCTTCTTCTGATGCATGTGAGCAGTCACGATATACTAATTACGATCCGAGCGAATTTTACTAGAAAAATCTTACTCTACAATAACAACAATAAATCATTAAACAATAAAATAAATCTTTTTATGTATTAAAATTCTTTTAAAAAAATTAAATTATTTTCTTCAACTTCATAATTCATCTTTTAAACCATTTTTACCATCAATATAGTCAAAATTTGATATGCAATCATAAAAAACTGAAAATTTGTCATCATTAAGAACAATTTTTCCCTTTGTTGTCGCATCAACTTCAACGGCATCATCAACACACTCGTTTTTGTAGAATCTTGCAATTTTTAGATTTTCAGCAGCATCAAAAATATCTGGATCAACAGCTTCAATTGAATTTCCATTGAATGTGAGCGATTTGAGATTTTTAAGTGACGATGGATGGAATGCATTAGAGTTCAGGACAGTCAGTTGATTGTTGGACATGATTAAATGCCTTAATTCATTTAAAGATGCAAAGACAGCGATTGGAAGTTCATCAATTCTATTGTGAGACATTTCGAGATAAATGAGGCGAGGAATTGAGCTGAACCAATCAAGTTTGATGTCTACAATGTCACAGTTGCTAATGTAAAGGTACTGAAGTGCTGCCATTGACTTAAAGATATTTTCAGGAAGCTCATGTAATGGATTGTTGCTGATTGATAACCATTCTAGTTTAGATAAAGATCTAAATAGTCCATCTGATAATTGTTCAATTTGGTTCCCTTCCAAGTCTAAAAACCGCAACCCGCGTGGCCCCTCAAAGGCGTCGCGATGAATTTCTCGAATTTTATTATTTGACAAGTAAAGTGCGCCTAAATTCCTGCAATTTTCCATCGCTTCTCGGCTCACAATTTTGATTTCCTTCTCAGCCAGCGATAAAATTTCTAAATTTCTAAATTGCTTGCACAAAACTGATGGAATGATTGAAGTATGTCCTGTACTTTTTTCAATTGCATTGACGTCATCATCATGATTGCCTGGTATCTTCTCAAAATCATCAAATCCACTTGGATTATAAATTCTTAGTCGACAAGTAAATGTTTTCTTATTTTCATCACCAAAATCACTCGTGTCTTCATACTCACAATTTATTTCCTGTCCAAATGTGTTGGAAATTATGAGAAAAATTAGTAAAATTTCTTTCATCACAGCTGGCACTAACAACGTGTTAATTGACTTTAGAATCATACACAGAAGTAAATAAAAAGTATATAATTTTTTTATCAATATATTTTAATTGTATTTTAAAAATATCGATAAGATAATGAATAATAAGTGTTGGTTTAGATTATTTGAAATTATCTTGAATTTCTTAAATCAATATTTGGAGCTGCTACTTTTTACCGCATTTTTTGAAACTTGTTTTTATTTTATTAAAATGGATCCATGAATGAGTTATTTGCCAATAGCAACAATATCTGCCAGAAATTTAAAATTGCCCACCTTTAGGAGCAGACTTTATAATCACACAACTTAAAGCAGATATTTTTATAATTTTTCATAAGTTATGGCAACTTATTACTTATTTATGGAAAGCTTTAAATAAAGGAACACAAAATGAGTTTAATTTCTACTCAGAAAAATCCAGTGTGGCAACAGGTTATTTCACAGCAGCAATGAAAGTGCAAAGAACCTAAATTATTATTATTATTATTATTACTATTATTATTATTTTTATTAATCAATGGCCATCACATTAGCTGTAGAAATTGACTCGATCCGACACGGCTATCCGCTAACGCTTCACTACTCAGCTCAGCAAAGTACCGTCAAGATAAGTTTTTTGTAATCCAGTAACTTTAAAGTCATGTCCAAGTCCAAAAACAATGATTCAAGAGCTTTAAGTTCATGTAAATCACCAAAAAATTAGATAAAGTAGCATTAAAGTCGTGCTCAAGTCCAAAATCAATGATCCAGGAGCATTAAAGTTATGTCCAACACCAAAAACTAATATTCAGTAGCTTTTTAAAGGCACCAAACTCAATTCATTTTATTTAGAATTTTAAAAATTTTAAATTTAATAGATGTAATAATTTCCCGCACATTTTTTGACATTTAACTGATTTCTAAGGCTCTTAGGGTTTTACACAATTTTCCATCATTTCCATTTTGTCTCTACTAGTTTTCGTCTTCATTTTCGTATTTTAACCTATGATCTTCTAATACACATTAATTGAGCTATAAAAAATCAACTTACTTAATAACGGTCATTTGAAATTCAAAATTTTCACAACCTTACAAATTCTTCTTCTTCTTCTTCTTAATTAACTTTATTATGGTCCATCAGCTTATTGCTATTTAAAGACCGTTCACAATTCCAGGTAGTTTAATTTTTGTTATGTCTCGATTGTGATCTGTCAATGTAATTAATATATTCTGCTGTATTCCGAGATGATCGATTCCTGTTTGTCAATGTTGATTTGTTGAAATCCAGTCAGCACCAATTGATTGATAGAACTTGCTCGCGATATATGGGGAAACACACAAAACCCATCGCGAGACAAATTCTCCTCACAATTGACGATAATCCGTTGTATTCCAATAATATTCAATGTCTAGGTTATGGCTATGATAGAACATTCTTGTCCACGACTGTTGGTAAAACACAAAAAACCCACGTGAAACAATTGATTCTCCTCACAACTGCCGCCGATCGTGATTTGTCAATATAATTAAATGTTCTTTGGTATTCCGATGATGATCAATTCCGTTTTATCTAGATTATGTGCACATTTTTTTCCGATTTCAATTTATATCCAAAATTTAATTAAATCGCGACTTTGCTGAGTTTTTTCCTTGGTATCTTTGTTCTTTGTTACTTTGAAGACAGTTCCCGTAGGTTTGTGACTTATTCCTACGCGTAATTAATTAATTTTGAAGTATTGCACAATTCCACAACTTCCTCATTCGGAGGTTGGGAGAAAAACTGACCTTACAAATTCTTTAAAAATCATACCATTGAATAAAATTGAGCAAAATTTTTTTTAAACTACTCAGGAAAGTCAAATGCACTAAAATTACGCTTAACATATTTAAAAAATATTATCTGAAATATTTAAGTTTTTTGATTTTCGATAAAAGAAATGAAAAAGTAATTTTTCTTTTTTTTGTTATTAGGCAATAAAACAAAGGAACTAAACCAGGGGCGCAGCCAGAAAATTTTTAAGGGGGGGCCCATTTTCGAAAATTAAAAAACCGTTATTTTGTATTCTTAAATCTATATTCATTCTTCATAAGTTTAAATATTTAATTCAATATTCATACATTAAATTTGATTTTTCGTGCTGATTTTGACATTTCTTTCATCACTTCCTCTACATTAACTGGTTCTTCTCTATAAATACTTAATAAAACAATTATCAGATTTTTGCAGGGGGGGCCCAGGCCCCCTATGGCCCCCCCTCTGGCTACGCCCCTGAACTAAACCTAAAATCTTTTTCTTTTGCTGTCTCTTAGTCGTCAGATGATTCTGCTGATCCATAAACACTTTCATCATCCTCGGTAATTCGTTGTTCATCAGGATTAATTCATTGGACTTGAAGTATTTCTGCTGGAACTGGTTGAACTGCTGCCTCTACTGGCTGTTGAATTTTGTGTTCATTTTCACGATAATAATCACTAAAAAAGTTATTTTGTAATCGGTTCAACGAATATCTTAAGAAAATAGGATTTTCCAAGACATAGACTTCAAAAAAAAACCGATCGAAATACATTTTTTTTATCTCACTTGTTGAGATTGTGCCGACCAAAATTGTAGCGATGCGTGATCATCTTAAACGAGTATGAATTCTCTGTTGATCTCCTTAATGCTGCATCGACCCCATCACAATAATTAGTAAGTCTTCATACGATTTGATTTTCACGCATTTACATATCCGCTTCCTAATAATTTGTGTTTCTGACAATTCTGGTTCGTCCATTGATGCTCTGGAACACAGATATTAGTGCCACATCTGCTGGATTCACAGCATTTATTTGAAAATCAATTTCATTACAAAAATAAATTTCGCTTTTTTCATATTTTTTCACACTTTTCACTAATTTTTCGATCACTTTTTGATCCTTAGTGCTTTTAATATCACTTATTTAAAATACTTACGATAATGCTGCTGTTTTGTGGCCTTAACTCTTTCAGGAGCTAATTTTAATTATTTTTTTGTGTTTACAACAAGTTTTTTGATTTTTAAAGAATTTGTAAGGTTTTGAAATTTTGAATTTCAAATGACCGTTATTAAGTAAATTAATTTTAAATAGCTTTTTTAATGTGCGTGAGAAGATCATAGGTTAAAATACGAAAATTTAGAAGAAAACTGATAGGGACAAAATGAAAATGATACAAAATTGTGTAAAATGATTTTTAATAATCCGTTAAATGTCAAAAAAGTAAGGATCTCAATTTTGTTACTGCAAAAGCTATACTTCGGTTTTAAGACTAATTAAGTGTCAAGTGTCGTCTTGTTGTATTAAGCATAGATTAAAAGCATGGCCAAATGTAGGATAACAGCTCTATAATCAGGATAGTGATGAGAAAGTTCACAAAAGATCATTCGAGATAAAATGGAGAAAAAGCAACAAAAATTGAAATGTTTATTAAATTGTATAGTAAAGCAGGACCAAAAAAGTAATTAATTGTGTAAATGAAAAACTTAAGGTTTAGTCTGATCTGATTATTTTCAAATAATGTTATCTGATTTAATATTGAAAATCTTAAAGACAGTTTTTAAAAATCTAAGATTAAAAAATGATTATATAATCGAAAAGTGAGCATTTATTGGTCCACATATCCTTCAATATTAATGCCAACATTGTTAAAATTAAGAAATGTGGTTTGACTAAATTAAATGCGCAGTATTATGTTGTTTATTTCATTTTAAAATGTTTTTATCAGAGCCTTGTGAGTGGAAAAACCCAAAAAAGTTTCTTTTGAATATTTGGACAAGTGAATTTACCTCTGAAACTGCACGAATACACTACCAATGACCTTGTTCAATGATATCTATAAGCCTATGAAGTTTATAAAGTTTTTAAAGCAAGCTTTAGAGGCACGACTATTTCATTTGTGTCAACATTATCGAATGTGCGTTTTTTGTGTGACTTAAAAATCAATTTCTTAATATTAAACTTATGTCTTAATATAAGATTTTCAGGATCAAATGGACAAAATTAATTCATATTGCTCATTTTCCTTAAAAACTTCTCAATTAATAAATTCCTTGAATGAGAAAAACAAGTTTATTGGTGTGCAGCATTTTTATTTTAAAACTTTGGTTGATATGTACTCAAATGATGACGTCACGACTTATAAAAACAGACCTTGGCAAAATTATGAGATGCATCTAGAAGTTTTGTCACTATCTTTTAGGGTAAAACTGAGAAGTTTATATGAATTTCATTAACACACCCAATTTGTGACACCAGTGAGAAGTTTGCCTCTTGTTTTTCTCATCCATACTAAAAGTATTGTCAATGTGGATGTGAATGTTGTTGATCAAATTTAAATATAAAATTTTTCACTTGTTTAAACCTCATTTTGTACACGGGCTCGTTTCTTTTATTATTTTAATAAATATCTTCACTTGAAATGAATAAGACGTACATATGAGATAAAATGTTTTTTTTTCAGATAATTTTAAATAAATTTCGTCTTAATTTCAGGATTTTCATTTACTTTTATGCTACGTTTAGCTAAGATTGGATCTTTTCGTTTTTATTATTTGCAATGTAATGATTTCCATTTTTTTTTAATATTTAAGGATCTCTTGAAAAACCGGAACTAGGCAAACCACTGAACAGTCCATAAAGAAATTACAGTTTTTAAAATTTAAGAAAAATCAGCAACAAAAGAATCAATAGGCAAATCAAAGTTTCATATCTGCTATTTCTAATCATTCTGTGCCACTTTATTTTACTTCAGGTCCTCTTTAGATTGTCATTACACCCATTTGTTCATAATTCTGTTTTGGCCATACATTAAGTGTTCAAAATGCATTTTATCTCGTATAAATTTAATCTTCTTAACTGCTTTCATGATATAATTCAGAAGCTTAGCTGAAACTTAGGCAGTTTTTATTGAAACACATTCTTCAGCGTCCTTTCTTTCCTTTGTTAAGCAGCTTTAAGCACAAGAGTCGTTCCATTAGTTTTTTTTATATTTGGAAGCTAAACATGTAGCCAATGTTT